GCCACTGTGGAAGATGGCATGGTGATTTCTCAAAGTGAAACTCTCTTAAAACACAGAGTGATCATATGACCCAGCAATTCTACTCCTAAGTATAAACCTCAGAGAATCAAAAACATGTCCACCCAAAAATGTGAATGTTCATAGCAGCACAGTCCACAGTAGTCAAAATGTGAAAATAACCCAAGTGTTCATCAGTGGATGGATGGATAAACAGAATGGGTTCCATCCATACAATGGAATATTATTCAGCCATAAAAAGGAATGAAGCACTGATATAGGCATAGATAGACATAGACACAGATGAACCGTGAAAACATGATGTTGAAAGAAGTCAGACAGAAAAGGCCACAATGTCTACGATTCCATTTATATGAAGTGTCCAAAACAGGCAAATTTACAGAGACAGAATGCAGACTAATGGTTGCCAGGGTCTGAGGGAGGTGGGGGAATGGAGGGTGACAGTTAATGGGGACCTGGTTTTTTCTGGGGGGGAAGGGTGATAAAAATGTCCTGGAAAGAGATAATGGTGATGGTTGTACCACATTGTCAATGTACTAAAATGTCATTAGTGGTAAATGTTATGCATATTTTATCTTGATAAAAACAATCTTAAAAAACCTTTGAATTGAATTGAATTTTAGAACAGAAAAAGGACACAGTGGGAAATCTGGGGAAATCCAAAAAAAGCTTGGCATTTCACTGCCAGTGCTGCGCCTGTGTAGGCTTCTTAGTCGTGACAAACGTGTCCCAGTCATGTGAGATGTTAACACAAGGCAAAGCCGGGCGAGCTTTGCCTCTATGTACAAAGCTGCTATATATACAGCAACGCCCTCTACCATCACTGCAACTTTTCTGCAAACCTAAAATGATTCCAAAATAAAACATTTATTCTCGAAAATCATATGTAACTTCAAGAAAAGGGCTTGCTTGGTCTCCAGAAGGTTCTTTGTCTGGCTAGGGCCCATGCTGGGGTTCAGATTTGCAATTTAGGGAGCTGGAGCTGACTTCAGCCTGGGAGAGGGAGAAGAATCTGGAATTCCCAGGCCAGGAGAGAGGGATGAGGTGAAGAGAGGGGGATAGGGGAGGAGGGAAGGAGGAGTCTGGGCAGGAATGGGGTTGGGCTGGGGGGATCCCCCATGGAAGCGTCTTGCTATGGGAACTCCAAGAACTTTGGAGAACAGGAATGTCGAGCACAGAGGTTGCTAATGGATAACCCACAGTCCAAAGGCTAGGGAGGTGTTATATTTACCCTTGGTTTTGTAAACGTAATTGAGCCAATCTATAAAAAGCAGTCAATCTCACATGACAATTGGAAAGTTCCAACTTCTCTGGAAACATCTGAAAATCTGCTAATTTGAGGCCACCTTTCTCTATGTCCTCAGGTCTGGAGCTGAGTCCCAGCCATCCCCTTTATTTAATTTTAAATTTATTTATTGATTTGTGGTTGTGTCAGTTTTGTTAGTTTTGGCATGCAGGATCTTTAATTGTGGTGAACGGGCTGTTCCCTAGTCATGGAACACGGGCTTAGTTGCCCCAACACATGTCAGATCTTAGTTCCCCGACCAGGGACCAAACCCACATCCCCTGCATCAGGAGGCAGATTCTTAACCAGGGAAGTCCCCTGGCCATCCTCTTTAAAGGAGTGTGAGCTCTGCTGTTTGCCACGATCCCCACCATCCCCTATGGTCACCAATTATGGTAAGAATAATAAAGAATCTACCTGCCAATGCAGGAGATGTGGGTTTGATCCCTGGGTTGGGAAGATCCCCTGGAGAAGGAAATGACAACCCGCTCCAGTATTCTTGCCTGGGAGAATCCCATGGACAGAGGAGCCTGGCAGGCTACAGTCCATGGGGTTGCAAAGAGTTGGACACAACTTAGCAACTAAACAGCAACAACTGACACTCAGCTTCAGTTACCACTTATCTTCAAGCTTGCACCATATTTTACGGACTAATTGAACAGATTTTCTCTGTACTATGTCAAAAGTGGAAAAGCAAAAGAGAAATCAAGACATTGTCTGATTTTTATTATATCCAGCTGGCTTCACTCACCTATGATACCTACCTTGCTCCTGGAGGGACTCAGGTTTAAGAACTCAAGTCTCGTGTTTGATGGGCAGCTCTCCCTTGCAGGTCAACCTACCCGCCCCAATCCACACCCTTAAGTCTTCATGCTCACAGGTGTTGTGTGGTTGGGATCAAACATACACATTCTTCTTGGGTGTGAATCCTGGTTCTAGTCTTTACTAGCTGGGTGGTCTTGGGCAGGTCGCTTAACCTCTCTGTGCCTCAGTTTCCCCATAGGTAAAGCAGGGATGACACTGTACCTACCTTTCAGAGGTTTTATGAGGATTAAGTGACCCAGCTCATGTAAAGCATGCACACCTGTGCCTGGAACAGAACAAAAGAGGCCGAGATTTCAGGGGGTGTTGGGTGCTGTGATGATAACAGATCAGGGTGACCAGGGAAAACGCCACACTCAGTACCTGCTGAGGAGGAGGGGACACATGAGCTGAGAGAGAAATGAGAAAAAATCATCTGGGAACCCAGGGGGAGGAACAGTGTGTCAGGGAGAAGGAACAGGCAGTGTAAAGGCTCAGAGGCAAGAATGAGCTTGACTCGCTCAAGGAGAAGGAAGAGGGCTGTGTGGATGGAGAGGCGCTACTGAAAGGCAGGCAGAGGCCACAGGGAGGTGTTTGCCCCTGATGCGCTGAGACGCCCTGGAGGGTTCTCAGCACTGAGTCCGGGATCTGATTGAGGGAGGGACACGTGAACCTGGCAGCAGCAGGCTGGTCCAGTCCGAAGCCTCAGCTTCCAGTCCCATGATCCCTGTCACAACCAGCCTGACTCAAGCCTGGCTGTCCTTGCCCTCTGAGCACTGAAACCCCCTACCCCCAAACCAAACAGGAAGTCTTGAGGTGGCCCTGGGCCAGGGCAGGGGCCCCCGGGATGGGGCAGAGTAGGGGATGCAAAAACCATGTGAAAGAAGGCTGCAAGGTGTGTGCTACTTAGTCGTGTCCAACTCTTTGCAGCTCCACGGACTGTAGCCTGCCAGGCTCCTCTGTCCATGGGATTTCCCAGGCAAGAATACTGGAGTGGGTTGCCATGCCCTCCTCCAGGGGATCTTCCCAACCCAGGGATCAAACCCCAGTCTCCTGTGGCTCCTGCATTGCAGGTGGATTCTTTACCACTGAGCTACCGGGAAAGCCCAAAGGCTGCAAGATTCCCCCTAAAGACATCCATGTCAAATCCCTGGAACCGTGAGAGTGACCTTACTTGGAAAAAGGGTCTTTGGTTCAGAATCTCAATATGAGATGATTCTGGATAATTCACATGGGCTCAAATTCCAACATCAAATGTCCTTACAAGAGAAAGGCACAGCCATTAAAAAGAATTCATTTGAATCAGTTCTAATGAGATGGATGAAACTGGAGCCCATTATACAGAGCGAAGTAAGCCAGAAAGATAAAGACCATTACAGTATACTAACACATATATATGGAATTTAGAAAGATGGTAACGATAACCCTATGTGCAAAACAGAAAAAGAGACTCCGATGTATAGAACAGACTTGTGGACTCTGGGAGAAGGCGAGGGTGGGATGTTTCAAGAGAACAGCATCGAAACACGTATATTATCTAGGGTGAAACAGATCACCAGCCCAGGTTGGGTGCATGAGACAAGTGCTCGGGCCTGGTGCACTGGGAAGACCCAGAGGGATCGGGTGGAGAGGGAGGTGGGAGGGGGGACCGGGATGGGGAATATATGTAAATCCATGGCTAATTCATTTCAATGTATGACAAAAACCACTGCAATGATGTAAAGTAATTAGCCTCCAACTAATAAAAAAAAATAAATAAAAATAAAAAAAATTAAAAAAAATTCATATAAAAAAAAAAAAAAAGAGAAAGGCAGAGGGAGATTTGAGACACACAGAGAAGAAGGCCGGGTGATGATGGAGGCAGAGACTGGAGGGAGGCAGCCACACGCCAGGAACCCCTGGAGCCACCAGAAGTAGGAAGGACCCTCCCCTAGAGCCTCCAGAAGGAGCTCAGTTCTGTCGACCCTTGGGTGTCAGACTTCTGGCCTCCAGGTCTGGGAAAGATACGTTTCTGTTGCTTTAAGGCACCTGGTTGTGGTCACTGGTTACAGAAGCCACAGGAAACCAGCACGCCCTCCTCCAAAGGCCCCCACCTTCCCAGGCAAGAGGTTCAATTTCTCTTTCCACCCTTGCGACACATCCCCCGTTACAGGTGAGAACCCTGAGGCCCAGAGAGGGGAAGCTCCTTACAGTTGTCTCAGCCTCCCTCCTGCTTGAATTGAGTTCACCTGTGCATCTTGTTGCTGAGCAAACTCCGGGAGATGGTGAAGGACAGGGAAGCCTGGCGTGCTGCAGTCCTTGGGGTTGCAGGGTCAGACACGACTGAGCAACTGAACAACATGTACCTTGTTGGGTTTTCACAGCATTTTAAATTTTATTTTTATCATGGAATAGTAAGCACAGCAAAGAGAGTCCAGATAACATAATGCCCTGAAACTTTTTCATCCCCTGCTCTTGGTGAGGTGGGGTGGGGTGGGTAGATGGGGTAGGGGTTTAGCTGTGGGGTCTTGGCTGTGTAGTGTAGGATAAATCAATTAACCTCTCTGAGCTTCAGATTCCTCAACTTAAGAATGGGGAGAGAATTGGTTGTTGTGAGGATTAAATGAGATCAGACGCTAAGCACCTGGTATCTCTCCAATTCCACCTGAAACCCCAGCCTGGGCCTGAGCTGGTTCTTGCTGGGGGATCCAGCTCTCAGGTTCACGATGGCTTCTTCAGGGAGGGAGGGTCCTGGATAAATAAGATGCTCAAGGGAGGTCCAAGCCCCTGAAGGCAAGCAGGGGACTCAGCTGGCCACAGTCTGGGCCTCAGGCCTTGATTTATTTGGCAGGAAAATGGATACACGGCAGACATGGAGCTGGTGTATGTAGTGTGACTTCACCTGTTGTTAAAAAACTCAAGTACTTCCATACCTGTTGGTAAAAGCCACTGCCCCAGTCCTGCTCCCGGGACCCCAGACTTCCACAGAATTCAGCAAGTAAGAAGTACCGCCAGGAGGTCTTCCTGGGTCCAGTCCTAAGCCTCCCTTCTGATCAAGCTGTGCTGCTGGGTAATATGTCTTGGTGCCATGGGCTGGTGAACATAGGGTGCTCTGTCCCTGATGGAAAAAAACAGGTGGCATTTGCTGGGTTTTGGCTTTCCCAGGAGGCAGAGAGGATCCTGGGGGTTTAGTGGAGACTGGTCTGTTATCCTGCACAAGCCTCATGGAGACAGATGGATGGACTCGAATGTCTGCGCTGGGGGTCCTGGGGATGTGAAGGGCACCCGGACACTGGATGCGGGGAGGCCCTAGACCACCCAGAGTCTCTCCACAATTACACCAGGCAGGGCCTGATGGAGAAACCTAACCAGGCGATGAGGCAGATGGCCCAGAAAGAGGTCAGAGGTCAGGGGTGAGAGGTAGTATACTTTATTGACCGGGTTCTCCCAACATCTCGCAACCCCACTACAAAGCCAGACCTGGGCTTTGCCAGCGCCCCGTGCACCGGACTCCTAGACGTCCAGAGAGCCTCAGAACGGCAGAGCGGCGGGGCAGATGTGGGGAGGGGGCCGCCAGCCAGGGGAGAGGGCGCAGGGAGAGACAAGCCAGCGGGAGGGGCTCAAGCTGGGCGCTGGGCCAGGGACCCCCCGAGGCTCCGCCAGGCCTGGCCAGCCCCTCACTCCCCTAGTTAAGGTTTGTAGTGGTTCACAGTGAGACTGGCTTAGATTTGGGGGGCGATGGGCAGGCAGGCGCCTTCCACTCCCCGCCCACCATTGGCCTGACTCACGAAGCTGGGAAGAGGGCAAGACAGGAAGTCCCCCCACCCCGCCGTGTTCCCACCACCACAGGGCCTGGGAAGCCCCTTCTCTCCAGGGGCAACAGCAGAGGCCCAGCTCTCCCTGACATCCCCCAAGGCTCTTGGGGAGAAGGGTCATTCACTCCCGGCTCAGAAGTGTCCAGAACATCTCAGGGACCTTGCCCATCATTACTCCCAATTAGAAAAATGTTTTTGAAATCTAGGAGTTGATGGGGGCCATTGAACCAAGCAGTAAAAAAACCTGGTTAAGATCTTGGTTTAAAAAGGTAGTTCTACCTTCGCCTATAAGCTTCGGGAGACCAGCCCGAGAGACCAGTGGTGTCTCCGTGCCCAGACTGGCCGGGGTGGCTCATGGCAGCAGGGGGCCGGTGGTGGCCCGGGAAACAGGGCGGGGACCCGGGGAAGAGATGCAGGAAGCGGTGACTCTCGGGGCAGGGCAGCTGGCCCTCCCCCTCCAGTGCCATGGGCTTGGGCTCAGAGGGCAGCGGGAGTGGCCGTGATGGGGGGCCCCCGTGAGCACCTCTGCCGGGCCGGCTCCGGGGCCTCTGCCCCACCGGGAGAGGCGGGGCCCTGCGGTCAGGCCTTGTGACTGCCGTTGCCCGGCGGCTCCCTGTGGCCGGCTGTGTAGTCCGCGGTGGGCTCAAGCCCCAGCATCTGCCGCTGCACCAGCCTGGCGTAGAGGCCGCCCTGGGCCAGCAGCTGCTGGTGTGTGCCCTGCTGCACCACGCGGCCCTTGTCGAGCACCACGATGCGGTGCGCCCGCTCCACCGTGCTCAGCCGGTGCGCGATAATGAGCACCGTGTGTTTCCGCAGGTTGCCGTGGATGGCCTGCTGGATCTGCGGACACAGGAGGGCACCGGCTCACACGCCGCTGCCGCCGCCCACCACCCCACCCAGGCCTGGCTCAGATCCCGGGTCCACCACATCCCACGGATGCTCAGCCTCTCTGGGGCTTCTTCGCCTGTAAAGCGAGGGCTTGCACAGGACCTGCTTCCTGAGTTTTATGTCCTTGGGGGACAGAGCTCAGAGCCTGACATGGGGCAGCACTCGGTGAATGATGGAAGGGCTCCCGACATGGTCTTCCCCTAGCCTTGGCCTTGGCTAATGGTCTCACCGTCAGCCTCAGAGCTCATGCCAACAAAACCAGCATCACCTGCTTCCTCCATCCTTCCCTCACCCCACAAATTGACTCATCAGCAAATCCTGTCGCCCCATCTCCCCAGGGTCTCTCTGCTCCATTTTTCCACCTCTGCCACTGCTCCTTTTCGCTTGGATCCCGGCAACTTTCCTGACCCGCTCCCCATGTGGATTTAATACTTTTAATCAGTTCTTGTTGAACTCCTGCTCCAAGCCCTCCAAGAGCTTCTAGTCCTATTTAGGATAAACCCCAAACTCCTGGGGGGAATTTTTGAGCCATGAAACTCTTCTGCATAACATGACATCCTGTGTTTGTTAACACCCATAGAATTCACAATACAAAGGGACCCGAGACCTGAATGGTGACCTTGAGTTAGTAACAATGCACTAATACCAATTTTCAATGGGAACTAATACTGCTAATGTAATATGTTAATAACAGGTGACATTGTTTGGGGGGAGGAGTATATACAGAAACTCTGTACTTTCTGTCCAATTTTCTTTAAACGTAAACCTACTCTAAAAAAAAAACAAACACAAAAAACAAAAAATCCAAACCCCTTCCCAGGGCCTGAACAGCTGGTGTACCCACAATGACTCTGTCCCGATCTCACCATGCCCAACCCCCACCATCAACCATGCTGACCTTGGGGGGTTGGCTGTGGACCTGCTCTGAGCCTTTGCCCGCATTGCCCCTCTTCCCAGATCCCCCTGACTGGCTCCTTTCCCTTCTGGTCTCAGCTCAATAGCTACTTGATGGCCCTGGTTCTGCACATGAATTCTGGGCAGGTGTGACCCCATCTGAATCCTGCACCAAGACAGCCACATTCCAGCAGGGCTCCTGCAGGGGCAAAGCCCTGTCCCTGGGATGACCCCAGCCCCTAAATGCCGCCAGAACTGAGTGTCCTAACCAACACATGCTGGGCGGTGGGTGGCAGAACTCCCTCTCTTAGAGCACTTACCAAAAGGGGCTTAGAGTTGTCACACCTTCCTCTGTCGCCTGGAGATACATATGCAAATCTCCTAAAGCTCAGGAATGTCTCTCTCTGTCATCCCTTTGAAATGTAATCATCGGAAGGATAGGGCCCCATCTCCCAGACTTGAGTGGTTGCCAACTGTCCACCAGCTCCCAGCAATTTGTGAGTCTCCCCTGACCCCTGCTCCCGCCTCTTCCCTACGTCCTCAGTCTCCCTTTGAAATGGCTGCCCCATCACCATCATCACCCCTGCACAAATCCTAGACAGACCTCAGCTCTTTTCCCTGCTTTCTTAGCTACTGGATAAAATGTGTTTTCCCAGCTTTAACTAATGGCCAGCCATGTTTCTCAACCTCTCCATCACACAACTGTTTCATTTTCTACACAGTACAGGCCTCAGGGCACACTCACCCTTGTCTCCTTGTGATCTGTCTCTCGCCCTGGACTGGAAACACCTTGGGGGCAGGGGCCAATGTGACCCTGGCACCCAGAACAGCGCCTGGTGCCCGGGAGGTGGCATTAAATACCGTGTGATAAATGAATGGTTCCATGGCAAGATGGGGGTAGCTAAGTCCGCTTCAAATACACTGTGGGCCCCGCTTTACCAATGACATGAGAGTTGGAGTAAGAGAGACACTCAGGTTATGAGCTCCAGGGCGAAGCTCCTAATCCAGGGCCCACATCTCCTGACTCGAACCCAGGTGCATTTGGTTTCAACACCTAGAGCCCTGAGGCTGGGCTGAGTGACCACGCCCTGGGTCTCCTCCATCCCCGCTCTCTCCCCTCAGCTCCAGAACACCCTAATCCAGGAAGCTGATGGCCTGGGAGAGTCCCTACGGCTACCCTGAGCCCCCAGCACCTTTCACCCGCCCTGCTCCAGCATCACCTGCCACCCCGCAACTCACCAGATACTCGCTCTCTGCATCCAGGGCGCTGGTGGCTTCATCCAGGATGAGAACGGGTGGGTTCCGCACCAGAGCCCGGGCCATGGCCACCCGCTGCTTCTGGCCCCCGGACAGCTGGGCACCCTTCTCCCCTGTCTCTGCGGGGCGGAGGCACAGGTGCAAGTGAATGGGAGGGGAGGCTGGGTGGCCCTCGGGGAAGGACGAGCAATCCCTTGCCTCTCCTTTCCTTTCTGCCACGGGAGCTCTGCTCCCCAGGAAAGGTGGGGCTGACAGGGCCACCGGCTGGAAACCTCATGGAGCAATGCTCCTCCTTCCTGGTCATAAGGGGCAAGCAAATTACGACTGTGTGTGGCTGGTACCAAGACGCCAACTTTTACCTATGAATCTGGCAAAACTCCAAACGTTTGAGAACATAGTGTGCTGGGGTGGCTGAGGGCAAAGGGCACCCCGAGTCTCCCTGGGGTGCAGCTGCTGAGACCGCTGTGTCAGGTTGTGCTGCGTGAGTGCACAGACCACAGTTACAGACACACAACCCCTGGACCAGCAAACCCGCTTCTGGGAATATTTCCTGCTCATTTACTTGCGCTCTGACTCACAGCACTGTTAACTGAAAACGACAAAACCCCCAAACCAAAAAAACAATACAAACTGTCTATCAAAGGAAACTGAGGAAATCAGTTATTTTTGAGGAAAGTATTATAAAGCCACACAATAGAATACTGTGCAGTAGCTAAAAAAAAAAAAGTAGCTTTCTAGGTATCAATATGGAAAAAAAGGTATCATTTAAAAAAACCAGGTGCAGAATATAAGGTACTTTTTTTTTTTTCTGTAGATGGGTGGGAGGAACTAAAAACACATACTCATATTTGCATAAAGAAACTCCAAAATGACATGTAAGAAATTAATGAAAGAAGCTTTGGTGGGGGCCAGAGGGAACTGGTAGTGAAGACTGGGATGAAATGAAACTTTTCACTGGACATAGTTAGGTCTAATCTTTTCATCTTGAACTGTGTGAATAGCCCCACTGCAAGAGTTAAAATTTTAAAATACGTTAAATTAAATCTATAAGTTAATATATTGTTCAACTCATTAAATTACTTATTCACATAAAGTAACTATAAATAACATATATACCATTTTTAAATAATTATGTTTTGGAATTAAATTGAGGTGGTGGTTTTAAAGCACTGTGAATGTACTAAGTGCCACTGAATTGTTTGATTTATTTATTCATTTTTGGCTGCACCACAAGGCATGTGGGATCTCAGTTCCCTGACCAGGGATCAAACCCATGCCCCCTGCAGTGGAAGCACAGAATCTTAACCACTGGACCACCAGGGAAGTCCCTGAATTGTTCACTTTAAAATAGCTAAGTTTAGGGACTTCCCTGGTGGTCCAGTGGTTAAGAATCCGCCTTGTGATGCAGGGGACGTGGGTCTGATCCTTGGTTGGGGAACTAAGATCCCACATGTCGTGGGGTGACTAAGCCTGAGAGCCACAACAAAAGCTCCCAAGTATTGCAATCAAGACTGAATGCAGCCAAATAAATAAATAGATAAATATTTAAAAACACTTTATGTTATGTGGATTTCACCTGAAATAATAAACAGTAGCTGGCAGAGGGCAACGCATAACTCAGAGGGTTGAATCCCTGAGGACGGACCTCCGGGCACAGTGGAGGCGATGCTCTGAGCCCTGTACCTGTATTGTAGCCGTCCTGCAGCTCCATGATGAAGCCGTGGGCGTTGGCCTTCTGGGCAGCCTCCACCACTGTCTCGAAGGGCACAGTGGGCAGACCGTAGGAGATGTTGTCTGTGATGGAGCGGGCGAACAACACTGGCTCCTGGCTCACCAGGGAGATCTGTGGAGGAGGAAGGATGGGGCATGGGAGGCCGGGAACGTGTCAGTCCAGCTGTCGCCAGGAACCTCACCAGCCCCAGGCCTGGCTGATGCCTGGGGCCTCAAGTCTGAAATCTGATCAGGGCCCATGGCCGGCTGCTGCATCCAGTGACCTCTCTTCTTTCCAAACAGTGGAGTCCACTTTCTGCACAAGCCCTCAGCCTCCCTGACCAACACACTGGGGGCCCCGCTAAGCTTGCCGCTCCGGGCTCAGCCAAGTTCCCTGACCTCTGAGACAGAGCTCATTGGCTGCCTCTGACCTGGAAGAAAAGAAAGTGACAGAGTGTGGAGTGTGACTCTGCGAGTCTGTCCATGGCAAGAAGCAAGAGGCCAGAGCAGGCCGAGGCCACAGGGACCACCCTGGTTGCTGCCCCCTCCCTTCTAGAGACCAACAGAAAGGAGCTATTGTCTCAGGGTCCCAGCTTTAGGAATTTGTATGTAGTTGGAGGATGTCATTACAATACTATAAATAGCAAAAAAGGAAAAAGAAAAAAAAATCTAATTGTCCATAAATTGAGGATCGATTAAATTATTACAGTGCACCTATAAAATCAAGCTGCAATATATATCACGATTCTATTTCTGTTTTAAAAAAGTGTACGTGCCTATATATAGCTGTTTAGTTGCTAAGCCATGTCCAACTCTTTGCGACCCCATGGACTGTAGCCCACCAGGCTCCTTTGTCTGTGGGATTTTCCGGGCAAGAATAATAGAGTGGATTGCCATTTCCTTCAACTGAGGATCTTCCCGACTCAGGGATTAAATCCGTGTCTCCTGTGACTCCTATATTACAGGCAGATTCTTTCCTGCTGAGCTATCAGGGAAGCCTTTATATGTAGATATGTTTATATAAAGATGGGAAACACATTGGAAAGGAAAGGATGTTGACTAAACTGATAATGCTGGATTGTGCCATGGGGTGGAATTCAAAAGGTGAGGTGGAGGGAATTCTCATGTGTTTGTTATAAAATTCTCTGAAAATATGAGAATATAGTTAGATGGTTGAGTTCTACTGCTTTGGGTTTATGAAAATTAAAAATTTAAACAGAGGATACTCACAAAAGAGGAAATCCAAAACTCCAAGAAACATGAAAAAGGACTTAAAATCTTTAGTCACCAGGAAAATGCAAAAGACCTCAATGAACTACCTCCAGATACTCACCAACTGGTCACAGATACTGATACTAGTTATCTGAGATTAAGTATCTGAGCATGTTAACTATTGCAAAGCTTGAAACAGTTCTGTCCAGGAGCCACTTCAAGAACTCTGACCTGGGACCGCTTCTTCACCATCTACCCATGGTTATATACACATGAGTGGGAAGATGTCACAATCTGTGGCCACCACCAGCATCTACAACTAGCTGGAAGTTCTGGAATCTCTGTGCCAACCCAGGCTCTCACATAACTTAATGTCTGCAGATGATGTAAAGGGTGTCTGCTTAGAAGTTGGTGTTTCCTGCATAATGTGCAACCTGAACAACCATCCAGGGCATCCCTGCTCTTATACCAGCTCAGAAGCAGATGCTGAGTGCACCTGAGAAGATTACCAAAACTGTAAGGTCATGAATAGCCTCCTTTAAGTACTGGAGATAATTTAAATGTGGAAAACCTGAACTCTCATTCACTGCTGGTGGGACTGTAAAGTTAAAAAAAGAAAAATGTAAACCACCTTAATGGCAGGAATTACTAGAGCTGAGGATACACATCCACCCTGGAAGAACCTACCCACCTGTGCATACCAGGACACACAGTATCAGTGCTGTCCATATCAATATTGTTGATAATATTAGAAAAACAGGAAACACCCCCAACTATCCATCAAGAAACAGAAAGTGTAAATGGACTGTGACATGTTTACACAGTGGATTATCTCCCAGCAATGAAAATGAAGGAACTACAAACACAGCCTCAACCTGGAAAACTCACAAATAACGCTGAGTGGAGGAAACAAGACACAAAGAATACACATGTTATGACTCCAGTCAGATGAAGTTCAAAACTAGCAAAACACAGCTGCGCTGTCTGGGGAGGCACACAGCGATGAAAGAACAAAAGCAAAGCAAGAAAATGATGATTATGAAAGTTGGGTGAGATGGCGCTTCTTGGGAGAAAAAGAAGGGGCACATGGAGTGGGGTGGGGGGGCGCTTCTGGAGTGCTGGAATGTTCTATTTCTTGAACTGGGTGGTGTTTCGTTGGTGGTAATCCCTTTTTAAAAAAATATATATTTTATTTATTTTATTTGGTTGCATTGGGTCTTAGTGACAGCATGTGGGATCTAGTTTCCTGACCAGGCATCAAACCTGGGCCCCCTCCATTAGGAGCACAGAGTCTTAGCCACTGGACCACCCGGGAAATCCCAGTGATAATCCTTTGAACTGTGTGTGTATATCCTGCGCCCTCTCACCTGCATCTGTTAGTACTCTCGAGAGAAGGTCAAATGGAAAGGGCGAAGGAGGGCGGCAAAGGCCTGTGCACCTACCACGCGGTGTAAGTACTTGTGGTCATAGGCGCCGATGGGCTTCCCGTCCAGCAGCACCTGGCCCCCCTCCAGGGGGTAGAAGTTCTCCAGGATGTTGACGCATGAGCTTTTCCCACTGCCCGACGGCCCCACAAGTGCAGTCACCTTTCCTGGGGACAGGCTGAAGGACACGTTCTGCAAGGAACGCGCAGACATAAGGCAGAGCCACAGGCTCACTCAGAGGCTCTGGTCTTAGAGGCCCTGGGCACCCTTCCCAGCCTGCCCCACTGCCGCCGCCCCCAGAAGACTCTCCTTTCTAGGCCTTGACAGCACTTTTATTCTTGTCTCCTTTGCCTGGAATGTTCTTGCTGCAGAGAGCCATTGGCTGGCTCCTGCTCCTTGTTTAGGTCCGAGATCAAAAATCACCTCCCCCGAGAAGCCCTCTTGGACTATTAATACCATCTCTGCAGACTACCCCGATTTACTGCCTTCCTAGCACTTCTGGAATCCTTTTGTTAATGCTCTGCCTTCCCCAGCTAGAGCCCAACTCCAGGAGTGGAGGGACTCTGCTTTTCGTATTCTTGGCTGCACTGCCATGGCCTGGCCTGTAGGAGGTGCGAGAGAGATGGGAGGAGGGAAAGGATGATCGGAGGTAGTGATGGGGGGTCTCAGGCCCTCTCTCACCTGCAAGACTTGGGTGTGGGGCCGAGTGCGGTAGGTGAAGGTCACGTTCTCAAAGTCCACCCGGCCCTCCAGGTGGTCAGGGGCCAAGCTCCCGTCGTGCACCATGGTTGGCTGCCGGTCAATGAACTCGAACACCTTCTCAGCGGCCCCTACTCCTTGCATCAGGCCGCTGTAGACAGAGCCCACGGACTGTGGGGGGAGGAGAAACACGTTCCTGACCCACTGACACCCCAATCCTAGGTCCCCCCTCCATGGTGCCAGAGGGATGAAGGGGGTGCAGAGAGAGCAAGAACACAGCAGCAGTTCTGGGGGCGGGGCACGGTCACAGGAGGCCATCGGAGCCCCACTTGCTGGTACAGCAGACCAGGACGATAATGCAAAAGCTGAAGAGAGCGATAAAAAATACTGATGCTTTATGTGTTACAGCTAAACCTCACCACTGTCCAGCAGGGTAGGTGTTATCACCCCCTTAGAAGAAGAAATGGAATCGCAGAGAAGCCAGAATGTAGCAGAATAGGAATTAGACCTTCCTCTTTCAGCTGCCACAGAATTTTTAAATTTCAATGATAAAAACGGCCCTAAATTTATACTATACATTTCCTTGGGTAAAAATATACACAAGTATAAATGTGAATAATGACTTATTTTACTGAGTACATATATATCTTATGAGGTAGCTGCTATCATTAGCTCCTTTGTGGTGATAAGGAAACCGAAGCACAGAGTGCTCAAGTAACTTCCCCCGGGTCACACAGATGGAGAAGTGGCAGAGCCAGGATTCGAACCAAGGCATTCTGGCTCCCGAGTTCAGGCCCTTAGGACCTGTGACTGCGGGTCCTGGTTGATGAAATGGGGGTAATATTAGTACCAGTATCATGGTTCTGTGAAGACAGTACTCAGCACATAGGAAGCCCTCAATCCACCACAGCTGTTAACTTCCAGATATAATTACTCATATTAAGATACAAGTGCTGTGTAGACATTGTCCTCTATCCCTCATCCCAGAGGTGGTCCCGGTTATCAGGGTACTATGTCTTTCAAGTCCTTTCTCTGTGCTTTTACAAACACATGCGTGTACATAATTAAATAATTTTGAGATGGAAGAAAACCATGAGATCAGACCATCCCTGACTCAGAGATGAGCTTTTTCACTAATTCTGTATCTTTGGGTTCTCTGAGCACCAGGGCACACAGCTCTGCCTCACTCCTGTGGCTGCTGCCTAGTTTTCGTAGCACAGGTGGACTGTTTCTGACATATGGATATACCGTATTGCCCAACCACTGGTTGACAAGCATTTAACTTTTCACTGTTATAAACCATGCCACATTGGATATCTTTGCCTGCTGCTGTGGATGTTTCTGAAGCAAGGCTTCCTTGACGCTGATTCAAATGACACTGCGAGTCTGATCGGAGGTAAGGCAAAGTGCCATCTGCAGAAGACACTAACTCTCCCCTGACCCCCACACCATTGGGCTTTTATCACTGCAGGACACACAGGCTCTACCTTAGTGCTGGAGGGCTAAGACCAGAGAACTAACACCCTCACTCTGTGCATCCTCTGGAAGTGACTGATGGCAATTTAGGCACAAGCTCCCCAACTCCCTCATCTCAGGACCTGCTGGTGAGAGAAGCCAAATTAAGACTTAATCTACAAGGACTTCCCTGCTGCTGCAGTGGCCAAGGCTCCATGCTCCCAATGCAGGGGGCCCGGGTTCAATCCCTGGTCCAGGAATTAGATCCTGCATGCCGCAACTAAGACCAGGCACAGCCAAATAAATTTTAAAATAAAATGGAAATACTGTATGTTTGTGTGTGTATGTGTATATATATGTGTGTGTGTGTGTGTGTGTGTGTGTGTGTATATATATATATAAACACATAATCCACTTAAAAAACAAACCCACTCTGTCCTTTTTCCTTAGAGCTATTCTTTAAAGTGGGTTAAAATAAAATCAGACCATCTGGCATGGAACTGGGAACCCCTACGAACATCTTCTTCTGGGAAGTGGGGACCCGGGGAGCACTGAGACCTTGTACAGGTGCTCAGGGGCATCTTCTGAAATTCTCTCTGTTGCTGCCACTCTGCTCCGTAAAGTTCCTGTCACACATTAGTGTTAGTCTCCTTGTTGGTACTATCATGTCCTTTAGAAAGAAATGCCACCTCCTGCGGACTCTGGAGCACCCCCATTCAGATCCCTCCCCCTTACCTCTCCCTCCTCCCCAGGACCCCCCGTTCCCCAGCCAGCCCCTCACCTCCATACAGTCTCCCAGGACAAACTCATAGATGATGAAGGAGATGAGGTTGCCACTGGTCATCTGCCCCGAGATGACGAGGTGGCCCCCGTAGTAGAGGATGCTGACCTGGACCACAAGCAGTGTGAGCTGGAGGGCAGATGGAAAGCGGAGTCTGACTCACGGGGGGCCTTGACTCAGATCCACAACCCCATTCCCTCTGTCTCCCCGCCCCACGGGCTGCAGGGGAGGTGAGAGCAGCTGTGAACTCTGCACTCATAGTCATAAACTGCAAGTGCAGCCAGCGACAGGGACGGCTTCCCACAAGCTGGTGCCCCTCTGTCACTCACGCCCTCCCCGCCCCCACTAGGGACCCTGCAAAGGCCCCCTGCTGGAACAGGCCATGAGCCTGCTTGGGAACAAGGCTTTCTTTGTCAGGCCCTGGCGTGTACACACACACAGAGTTCCTAAGCGCCTCAGTGAGGCCAAACTGGAGCTATTCGTCTCCTCCTTATTGGGAAGAGCATGGTTCAGAGAGGCTGAGTCCTCTGGCTAAGGTCACACAGCACGCCCAGCCAAGCAGACGAGGTCTGTATTACCAGGAAGGAGGGGCTGTGTCTGGGGTGTGCTTGCCTCCCGCCTCCTCCAGGGCTGGGGGAGTGTCTGTGAGAGGAGTGGAACCTGCATACCCATGACACAACCCACTCGGGGTCCCCATCTGCCCTCCTCATTTCAAGCCAGTGATGCTGGGCCAGAACTAGACCCACGGCTGGGCCACGGTGCCTCTGCACAAGCAGCAAGAGGCACCCTTGCTGGTGGGCAGGCCGTCAGGAGACTTGACTAGCTGGATTTCAGGCCTTTCTCCCCTCTGGCTGGCACTTTTGAGGAGGGGTTACCCTGGGTGGGGAAGTCCCAGAAGGTCCTTATCCCCTGCTTGCCTGTAGACCACCGGCTCCTTCCTTGCCCTAAATTCCAAACCCTCCTCATGCCTACCCCAGCTCTTCCCCGACATCCCACCCTCAGGTGTGGCCAGCACACAGCGACAGGCCCCACGTGCTCCTTCTCCAGGAGGGGCTGGAATGCATCCCCAGGGAGTGAGCCGGACGCTCTAGGACCTGCTGGGAAGCCACCCAGGTCGGATCCCCAGGTGGCCTCGGGGTGACTTCCCACCTTGGCAGGGGTGTCTCTCCAACAGGGAAAAGAAAGTTCCTGCCCGGCCACCCCACACCCAGGTGAGAGGTAAGAGGGGGTGTCCTGGGGGGACATTCACAGGAGTCTACATTTCTTTCCAGAAAGATCCTCGGAGGACAAGCAGAAAGTCAGGACCAAGTCAAGGGTCACACCAGCATGCAGGGACCTGGGTTAACGTCCTGACCAAGGGGTCCCCCATCTTTGTGTCAGACCTGCCCAGGCTGGGGGCACGTACCCCGCTGCCCCAGACGTAGTACATGTAGGCTGCGGCCTCCTTCCTGTTCAGCTTGTACACTTGCTGCAGCTTCCGCGAGTACACCTCCGCCTCCTCCTCCTCGTTGGCAAAGCTCCGCACTGTCTTCATGGCGCTGATGGTCTCCTCGGCTGTGCTGCTGGCTCTGGCCAGAGCACTCTGGACCTCTTTGGAGAGCCTCTATGGGCGGGAGTGGGGACAAAGAGGAGGAGACCTTAAAACAGACAGGCTCACCCTCTGCCCGAGCCCCAGGTCTCGGGGTTTTCTGTCTTTAGTTGGTGTCAGATCTATGCAGGGAGTTCCAGAGACAAGGGGATGAGACCTAGCTGCCCTTCCTCTCCCATCTCCTAGAATCAGCTAGAAGCATGATTTGCTGAGCTCAGACAACAGACCCCAGCTGGGCTTTGGGTGTGAGCTCCTGAGGCTCTATCTCCTGAGGGATGGGGCGCTGATTGTGAAGTTATCTCTAGTATTCAGCGGAAGTTAGGCATGACCATACATAATCTTCTCAGAAAACGAGTCTTGATACCTGATCCTGAGCTGGCATAAGAGCAGGGATGCTCTGGACGGTTGTTCAGGTTGTATACTGCACAAGAAACACTCCCTATTAAGGAGGCACCATTTACATCCAGAAATATACACTAAATTATGTGAGAGACTAAAAATTGGCACAGAGATTCCAGAACTCTTAGCCGAGTTCTAGATGGTGGTGGAGGCCACGAGCTATGAAATCTGCCCACATCGTGTGCTTGTAACTGGGGATGGATGGCTGAGAAGTGGTTCCAAGTACATGACCAACAGACTGCTGCCCAGAGTTCTGGAAGCAGTCCCTGGGCCTTGCTATTCAGGCTTTGTGATAGTTACCACACTCAGAACTTCACACCAGCCAGGAAGGCTGCCCAGGAGGCTCCTACATTGGCATATCTCATGACCTGCAAGTCATGCCCAGGCCATCGGAAGCACGCACTGTACTCAGGCTCAGGCACCTTGGGAGGAGCCACACTGCCTTGAGTCATGTCTGGCTGTGGACAATGTGTGTGGCTTGTGGTGATGACTCAATGATGGTATCCTACACATGGGGTACAGGTACGAGACCTAAATAGGGCTTGCTTGAGGCCTCACCCCTGAACTTGAAGGTGGAGCCTGAGGTATGCACAGAGGCAGGGCTGATGTGATGCAGGGCGCTCCAGGGCTTCCTGGCCCCTCCCAGGGGCTGGCAGGAAGGCAGGAAGGGTGGGGTGGAAGGGAAACTGCTCTGACTCCAACTCATATATTTACTTTCTCTCCTCAGGAACGAAAACAGCAAGGCCAGTGATCCAGAGCTGGTGGGGAGAGGGCCCTCCTGGGTGATTGGGCTCTGCAAGAGGGTGACACAGTGGGCTGTGGGGAATGGATTCATTTAGGTGCTGGCCTCAGGTCATGGGCACTAAGGGTCCTGACCAAGTGGGGAGCTCAGGGTCCAAGCACCCTGGTCAGGAGTGCCCCTGTCCCCCTCAGGCCTGGATCACTGGGGAAGAGGCTACCTGTACCTGCCTGCACCCAGCCTGGGTCCCTGAGGGCTCAGAGGCACCCACCACTGTGGGAAGCAGAAGGAAGGTGAGGCAGGGGCCTAGCTTACAGGCTGATCCTTCTGACAGAGGCAGCGCTGGGGGCAGCCGGAGGCAACTGCTGCTTGCCCGTCATTGCATCGTGGGTGAAGGCCTCGATCATGGGGGCCTGAGCGCCTCCACCCCCGGCCCCAACCTTGAACATACACTCTATAGAAAGAGAGCAAACTTTGCACTCAGAGTGAAACCCAAACTTCCCACAAAGGCCTATACCATCTAACCCCTCCCCCACCACCTCCCGGCTCTCTCCTCACTCCTGGTTCTGGCTTCACCAGCCTTCCTGCGGTCCTCAAACAGGTCAGTCACATTTCCACCTCAGGGCCTTTGCACTGGCTTTGCCCTCTGCTTGGAACGAGCTTCCCCAATATATCCACCTCTTTACTCAAAAGCCACCTTCTCAGAAAGACCAATTTAAAATTGCAGCCTGGGACTTCCTTGGTGGTCCAGTGGTTAAGGATCCACCTGCCAATGCAGGGAACGCAGGTTCCATCCGTCGTCCAGGAAGATCCCACATGTCTTGGGGCAGCTAAGCCAGTGCACCACAATTGCTGAGCCTGCACTCCAGGGCCGGTGCTCTGCAACAAGAGCAGCCACCACAACTAGAAAGTAGTCCCTGCTCACTGCAATAAGAGAAAGCCCAAGCGCAGCAATGACGATGCAGCACAGCCAAAAACAAAATAAATAAAAATTTTTAAAAAGGATAGCAAAAGAAAGACACTTAACTTTAAAAATAAAATAAAACTGCAACCAACCCCAATGCTCTCTATTTCTTTTCATTTATCTCCTTATCTCCTCCAACTTTTATTGTATTATATCTCTAGTCATTAAGTTGTGTCCGACCCTTATGACCCCATGGACTGAAGGGGGCAGCCTGCCAGGCTGCTCTGTCCATGGGACTTTCCAGGCAAGAATACTAGAGTGGGTTGCCATTTCCTTCTCCAGGGGATCTTCCCGACCCAGGAAATCGAACCCGGGTCTCCTGCATTGCAGGCAGATTCTTTACCAACTGAGCTATGACTGTATTATATATTTCCATCCTTATCATTGTTTCTATTTATTGGCTGGCTCTCCTATTAGAATATAAGCTCCCTGGGGACAAGGGTCCTGTCTGATTGATGTATCCCAGTGCCTGGGACTTAGGAGGTGCTTAATAAATATTTATTGAATGACTGAACGAATGAATGACTGAATGCAAACTCAGTTTTAAGACAAGTCCCTCACTAGCCCCCAGTGGCCCTCTGAGCCCATCCTAAGGGATCATTTGAGAGCTGCTGGTGGGGAGACCCCAGTGGGGATCAGGGGGGGCCTACCTTGTAGTACTTGCCATAGATGTCGGACACCATCATGATGATGGGGAACCCCATGAAGGTGACCAACGAGAGTTGCCACGAGAGGCTGAACATGAAGACCACCACGCCTGTGACCTTAACCGTGTTCCGCAGGAAGATGTTGATGTTCTGGGAGACCAGGTCGCTGACCATGGTGGTGTCCGAGGTGAGGCGGGAGATGAGGTCCCCTGGAACACAGGCCTCTCAGCTCCCTCTGCAGTAACAGGGCCACTGAGGGCGGGGGCGGGGGACCCTTGGGGAACTTGGACCTTCCCCGTCTTCTGGGCTGGGTTGCAGCGGGGACAGGGTGAGTCAATAGCCTGAGGGCTGCTCTGAGTCCAGCCCTTGTCACCAGCATCTGGTTTCAGCTTCAGCATCTCCCAGAGCACAGAGGAGGCAGCTGAGGCTCAGAGAGGGGGAGTCTTGCTCAGCGCCACACAGCATGTCCGTGACTGAGCCAGAGCCGAACCCGTGGTCCCTCCCTGTCACTGGCAGAGGGGTCACTCCCCTCTTCAGCCTCATGGTAATAACAGTCTGAGCTATGGAAGAGAGAGGACCAGACCAACCCTTACTGATGGCTGGATACTGGGCTCAGACCTTGACAACAACCTCGTGGGGCATCTCCTATTATTGTTCTCATCTTATGGAGGAGAAAACAGAGGCTCAGGGAGGTGAAGTCAGGAATGGGGCCTGCACCCAAGCTGAGCTGCCTCAGAGACTGGGTCTCAGCCTCCCTGTTCTGTCCTGTACCCCTGCCCTGCTCACCACCACGGGCCGGAGGAGTCCTGGCCCATGTGCTTCCCGCAAGTTAGTGGGAGGTGAGGCCTTGGTTGCTTCAGGATGGCCTGGCCAGGGTCCTAGAGTGGCCACAGCTCACAGCAAAACCTCGGACCAGCTCCCCAGGGCTCAGGGGGGCTGGAGGCCCACGCCAGTCACCAGGGGCATCCCCACCCTGAACTGGATGGCAGGGAGAGCCAGCAGGACTGAAAGCACTGATACACCCATTTAAATCCTCAACGTGGGGCAGGCCCACCTGGCTGGGCCCAGCCCCAGGTGACCCAAGGCCCCTGGGAAGACCAACCTGTGCGATTCTCGTCAAAGAAGCTTGTCTCCTGAGACACCAGCGAGCGGAAGAGACGGTTACGGAGACGAATGTTCAGTCTGGCAAATATGAGGGTAAAAATGCCGCCCCGAATACCTGCGGCAAATGAGCTAATTGCAGATAAGAGATGTTATGTATAGCACGACGTCCTTCCGGCAACTGACCCCCGCCCCCCCACTGTTCCCTCCCCAGTGCTGGCAGGCCAGGGCCTTCACAGGGGCGAGGGACCCCAACCTTGAGCCCACTCTCTGGGGCTGGCACTGCTGGGGGGTCACCCTGTTCCCAAAAGGAGCCCCCAACGTGAGGGCACAGGGGGACTTCTTTTACTGCGGGCGAAGAGCCCAGTTCCACCCGTTGGGCCTCTCGCCTTTCCAGAACAGCACAAAGCTGGCCCTTGTTTCCTGCTTGGAAAATGGCTGGGGGTGGGGTGGTGCCGAAAGGGGAACCCCGAGGACTGAAGTTATTTTTAGGGACAGGAGGGGTGTGGCTCTAGGGTGGGGCTCAACCGAATGGGCAGAACTAAGCCAGTAGCTGGGTTGTTGGTTACCATGGGGACCAACCGAGGGACAGGCCTTCACCGCCCACCCCCGGGGGCATTTCTTGGGCCTTCCTGGCGCCTTCCCCTCTCAGGAGCTACCCCATTCCCGCCCCCAACTGCAGGCCTGGTGGGTGGGGCAGGCAGGGGGTCGCTACCTGCCAATGGCCAGCACACACAGGACGATGACAGCCGTGCTGAACTGCTCCATGCTTTTCTGGATGACGATGCCGTCGATGGCCCGGCCAGTGTAGTAGGGAAGGAAGGTCTCTCCTGCCGGAGACAGGGCGGGCTCAGGGGGGCGTCTGCAGCCAGGAGGGGGCTCTGGAAGCCCCCAGACTACCCACACTGCTTATTCCACTCGTGGGGTTTTCTCTCTCTGCAAACTCCTGCTTATTAGCCAGGCAGGGGTGGGGAGGGGGCCCCCTCTTTTCAGAGATCAGGAACACATTAAATGTGTTATTTAGTCTATACTGACTGACCTGTTATCATGAATAATGGCTCCCAGACATGGAGAACACAGAGCCACGGGGCTGCCGGGTGATAGTTCATCCCCTCTGCAAGAGGACTCAGAAGGTGACCCTGTTATCATCTATCTTACAGATTAAGAAAGTGGAGCCAAAAAGATGAGCTGAGGCTCACCCAGTCACACCACCGATTGGTGGCAGGCAGCCGCCAAAGTTCACTTCTTTCTTCTCTCTGCCGGAGGGTTCAGAGTCCAAAGTCTAGAAGCTCAGAAGATGTTGATGTTCTGCTTCTGAGCAATGCTAGAACTGCTACCCCGCCCCTCTTGGTGGGGCACTTTACAGCTTGCCAGATAATTTCTTACCCATGTGTCTCGCTGTGTCTTCACATCAATCCTGGGTGTGGTGGGGGGAAAGGGGCATCTGGCAGAGATGTCATCCCCATTTCACTAAGGTGGAATGGGGGACTCAGAGAGGCTGAGTAACTTGCTCGGCGTCACACAGCAATTAAGAGGACGTCAGGACTCAAACCCAAACCAGCTTCCAGTCTGGGGGCTCATTCCTTGTGCCTTCCCTCCCAATAACCTGGAATGAATGGCCTGCTCTCATGGAAATGATGGACATGGAATGGGAGGTGGTCAGACCAGGCTGTGTCCAGTTTTCACTGCAGCTCTTCCAGCAGCCACAGCCTGGGTCAGCACCAGGCATGGAGGAGGTGCACAATAAAAGTCAATCCATGCACCCTGTGCAGGTCTGGTGGGTCCCTCCCCAGTCAGCTCTGCACAACTGGCTCAGCCAAGACAGTGAGGCCTTCCATGGGGTTCTGGCGCCCTCTGTTGGTCTTGGCACAGGAACCACAGGGAGGCTACAAAGCTGGCCTTCATCTCCCCTGCCCTTGGCCAGATGGAGTCTCCAGCCAGAAGTTCTGCCTCAGCTGCATTCTGCCTCAGTTTACCTATGGGGAAGTAAAGGGCCTGAGGAGCTCCAGCAGAATTTTTGGTCCAACAAGCACCAGTGGTGATATTAACCACCATAGACGTTCATGGAGCCCTTGCTGGGTGGGAGGCTGAACTAATAAGCAGGTAGGCAAATTCTTTTGTTGAATCTGCCCAAGAACCAGGTGAAACTCTCCAGTCTGCCAGCAAATCTTGCGGCTCTACCTTGAAAATATTTTCAGAATTTGCTGCTTCTCCCTCTTGCTGTCCCACCCAGCTTTGTCAACATCCTTTGGATGGTCTCAACAAAGTCTTGGTTCTCCTTGCTGCCACCTTTGTCCCCATCAATCTGTTCTCCACTCCCAGCAGACAGCAGGAGCCTGTGAAACCCAAATCAGATCGTCTCATCCTGGATCAAAATCCTCACAGTGGCTGACACCCCCTGCACGACTGGCCCTGGTGCTGAGCTACTATCTTCTACTCTCCCTCAACTCTATGCTTTTCCTTCAATAATCAGGCAGCTTTCTGCCTCAGGACCTTTGCACAGGCTGTTCCCTCTGCCTGGACCACTGTTACCCCAGATAGCAACTCATTCATCTCTTTCAAGTCTCAAATGCCTCCCAATAATCCTATAAGTGTAGTATTATCATTCTCCCCATTTTACAGATGAGGAAACTGGGGCTCAGAAAGGTTAAGTCATTTGCCCAAGGTTATTGTAGTTAGGTTGCCATGAAATCCATATTAAGGAATCACAATGGGAGATACTCAACACTAAAATTAATTTTTTATTTTTTTTTTACTATAATGGGCAGTTTTTCTTTTAGATTATAAGGTTTCAGAAAAATCTGGGCCCTCCTGGATGCTTACAGGTTGAAAAGTAATTGTTAATCATAGTGTGCACGCGTGTGTGCTCAGTTGCTCAGTTGTGTCCAACTCTTTGTAACCCCATGGACTGTAACCTGCCAGGCTCTCCTGTCCATGGAATTCTCCAAGCAAGAATACTGGACTGGGTTGCCATTCCCTTCTGCAGGGGATCCTCTCGACTCAGGAAGTGAACGCACATCTTGTGCATTGGCAGGCAGGTTCTTTACCACTGCACCACCTGGGAAGCCCAATAGCCATAGTATTTAACTTTTATGAAGTACCTGGTTTTGCCAGGCACTGTGCTTCACCTCATTTAATTTTCACAATAACCTGGGACTTACCTGGTGGTTCAGCGGTTAGGACTCTGCACTTCCACTGCAGGGGATACAAGTTCAATCCCCGGTCAGGGAACTAAGATGCCCTGCGGTGCAGGCAAAAAAAAAAAAAAAAAAAAAAAATTCACAAAACCCTGACAAAGCCCTAATTACAAGATGAGACACTGAGGTTTGGCCACTGTTAGTAAACTCGACTACAATTATCTGAGACTTCCCTGGTTGTCCAGTGGTTAAAAATCTACACTTCTGATGCAGAGGGTGCAGCTTTGATCCCTTGTCAGGAAACTAAGATCCCACACGCTACATGGGATGGCCAAAAAATAAAATAATGAAAATAAATAAATAAATAAAATAAAATAATGAGTAAAGTTGTGGGCCTGATCTCAAGTTGAAGCCCTTGACCTCAACATAACCCTACAGGCTGGCACAATCTGCTTGGCTGTATTTTAGGACATCTGTATTCCCTAAGCACACAACAGCTGACAGTAGCACCCTGGCGGGTGGGGGAATAAAGGCCGTGGGGGAGACAACTGCCAACATGGGCAGGATGGTCATTCACTCATTCACTCATCCATCTGTTCAGTGAGTCTCATTCTATGCCAGGTACTGGGGGTCCTGAAGGTGTCAGACCTGACCTCTGACCCCAAGGGGCTCCAAGCCTGCTAGGGGAGGCAGCAGAGTAGACGCAGGACTCGCTTGTCACCAAAGCTGTGGCTAAGGACCAGGGTCAATAGAATCCCAGTAGGCTGCTCACAAGCAGACCGCTGACCTCATAGTGTAAGGAGCACCAGCAGTCTGGTTAAATGAAAAGGGGTCATCTCAATACTCACGGCCACTAAAACTTATTGGGAGCTTTCTATGTGCCAGGAGCTGTCCAAGGCATCCTACGTGTATGAGCTCCCTGAACCTCACAACTGCTGAGATGCCCATTTTACAGACGAGAAGAAGTGCCTAAAATCACACAGCGGTCATGGGGCTGGAACTGAGGGGACAGAGGGTGGCCGGCACGTGGGAATGGGCTCTAGGGCTCGCCAGTCCTCTCTGAGATCACTGTGGCTTTGTGGCTGCTCCCAGAGTCTGTCCCTCTGTGAGTTAAGTATGCAGCGACTCATAGGAGCAAACATCCGGGTGCTTACCGTATGTAGAAACTCTGTACCTCTCCTCCTCTCAGTCCTTTTTGTTTGTTTGTCTGGCTGTGCCTTGTGGCATGTGGGATCTTGGTTCCCTGATCAGGGATCGAATCCATGACTCTTGCATTGGAAGCTCAGTCTTAACCACTGGATCACCAGGGACATCCCTCTCCTCTCTGTCTTTATTCCAACTTTACAACATCTTGGAACAAGGATGCTAGCAATTCCTATTTCACATAAGAAGGAGGTGAAGCTATGGAAGGTTGGATCACCCGCCCATGGTCACAAAGCCAGGCCTGGAGCAGGAATGGAATTGGTACCTGGGGCTTGTTGCCCCCAGAACCCATAGAGTTTCCCCCCGGTGATGTCATCTCCCCACCGTGTTTCTGAAGTGGTACTTTCAAACTATTTGGACCAGACGCAGATACAATTTATATCACCAACCAGGACACACACACAGGTGTTTCATGCAACTTAAGGATAGTATCATGCAACTTAGGCTCATCATAGACTACATAACCTGATGGCTCTATTCTGCTTCATTATAAAAAATGTTTTGAACCCAGAAATGCCACTTATCTGTAGGATAACTTCTTTAGATATACCCACATTTATAGGAAATGTGTATTAAAAAAAGAAAAAAAAGACTCAAAACAACCCAAGAGTCCAACAACAGATTGACTAAATAATCTATGGTACAGTCACACCGTGGAGTATTATGCAGTCAAAAACAAAATGAGGAACTGGGAAAATTCTAGGATATATTATTGTTGTTATTGTTTTATATGGCTGCAATGCATAGCAAGATCAAACAAGTCAGTTCTAAAGGAAATAAACTGAATATTCATTGGAAGGAATGATGCTGAAGCTGAAGCTCCAATACTTGGGCCACTTGATGCAAAGAACAGACTCACTGGAAAAGACCCTGATGCTGAGAAACACAGTTAAAAGGAGAAGGGGGTGCAGAGGATGAGATATTGGATGGCATCACTGACTCAGTGGACATGAATTTGAGCAAACTCTGGGAGATAGTGGAGGACAGAGCCTGGCATTCCATGGGATTGCAAAGAGTCAAGACACAAACTTCAGCTGAACAACAACAACAACAGCGCAGCATGTGGGATCTTAGCTCCCCTATCAGGGATTGAACCCATGCCCCTTGCATTGGAAGCTCAGAATCTTAACCACTGGACCACCAGGAAAGTCCCCAGGATATATTAAGTGAGAAAAGCAAGACGTAGACTAGAGTGCAGAAGGTGGGGGGAGAGAGACGTGCACTCCCTTGCTTACAGCTGGATAAAGAAACACTGGAGGCATATGTAAGAAATGAATAAAAGTGGTTTCCTGCCCACTTGGAAGTTGCTGGAACCACTTCCTATAGTTAGGCCTGGGCAGGGGGATTTAGGGTTGTCAGGGGCAGAATTAGGGTGAAACTCTCCATGTTTACCTTTGTGTTTTAACATGATGTTTGAACCATGGGAGGAAGATATTAAAACTGGAGAGGATGGGGCTTCCCTGGTGGCTCAGTGGTAAAGAATCCGCCTGCCAATGCAGGAGATGCGGGTTAGATACCTGCTCCAGGAAGATCCCACATGCCGCGGAGCAGCTAAGCCCGTGCGCCACAACTACTGAGCCTGTGCTCTAGAGCCCAGGAGCCACAACTACTGAAGCACGCGCCCTAGAACCTGTGCTCCGCAACAAGGGAAGCCAGCGCAGTGAGAACCCTGCACGCCGCAACCAGAGTAGCCTCCACTTGCCACAACTAGAGAAAAGCCCACACAGCAACAAAGACCCAGCACCACCAGAAATATATAAATAAGTAAAAATTTTAAAAGTTGTATAAAATTAAAAAAAAAAAAACTTGAGAGGAAAGAAGAGTTTGGTCACACCCCCCCCAACACATTCCCTGGATGCCCACCAGGCCCCACGGGCCGGCACTTACCCAGAGCCGCCACGATGAGGAAGAAGGAGGCCGCCACGAGGAAGGCGATGTCGGGCTTGGTGTAGGACAGCAGCTTCTGCAGCGTGGCCCCGGACGCCTGCTCGGGCGCGGGCCGGCCCTCCCCAGGGAAGCCCTCGCCCTCACCCTCGCCCTCGGCCCCGGCACCCCGCCCAAGGGCCTTGGCGTCTGGCTGCACCGTGGACAGCAGCCACCAGAGCAGGAAGGAGGCAGCGAGTGAAACGTAGGTCCACACGAAGAGGGCCCAAAACCACGGGTCCCGGACTGGCTTGCGTACCTCGGAGAAGAGCAGCAGCTTCACCATGGTGTAGATGCCCCCAAAGAGGCACACGAGGGCGATGACCGTCCACGAGGCCCGCAGCCTCCGGGGCCCCAGGGTGCTGTTCTTGGCCACGCCGATGGTGGCCCCCAGCAGCAGGCAGCTGCGGTACAGGCAGGCCGCCCAGAGGTCCAGCACCGAGTCAAAGATGTTGAAGTGGCGGATGTCCTCCAGTAGGCTGCGGTCCAGGTGGCTAAGGATGTAGATGGCTGTGGTCATGCCGACGTCCAAACTCATGAAGGCCAGGGTCACCACCACTGCCTTCCACAGCTGCATCCTGCTGGCCAGGGGTGGGCAGGCACCGAGGGGCAGGCTCTAGCTTATGGGGGCAAGGCCATTGTCTGCGGAGCGAGGCCAGACCTGTAGGGAACAGTGGGGTGAGAGGTGAGGGGATGTTGCTTGCTGGCTGTGTGACCTTGAGGAAGCCACTTGATATCTCTGAGCCTCAGATTCCTCATCGGTAAAATGACAGTGACAAATTACACAGGGGTAGGGTGAAGGTTCCACTCATTCAGGGAATATTTATTGGGTACCCTCTGTGGGCCACACTCTGTTCTTTGTGCTAAGGATTTTAAAAAATTATTTATTTAGCTGCATCGGGTCTTAGTTGCAGCATGCAGGATTTTTAGTTGCAGCATTCAAGCTCTTAGTTGGGGCATGTGGGTTGGGTTCCCCGACCAGGGATTGAACCTGGGCCCCCTGCACTGGGAGTGCTAAGTTTTAGCCACTGGACCACCAGGGAAGTCCTTGTGCTGGGAATTTAACTGTGAACCAAAGTAACAAAGATCCCTGCTCTTGAGGAGATGGGACATTCATGTCCCAGACAATAAGTAGAATAAGTAAGTGATACAGTGTGTTAAGAGACAAGGCTTGGGGGGAAGAGTTGGGTGTAAGGGATGTGAGGGCAATTTTAAATGGGGGTAAAGGGAAGACTTTGCTATGAAGGTAACACTTGAATAAGACTGAAAGAGGTGAGGGAGTCTGCCATGTGCATACCTGGGGGAAAAGCATTTTGGACAGGTGGAACAGACATGGCAAGAGCCCTAAGGTAGGAATGTGTTGATGTGCTTGAGGGAGACAAGGAGACCTGAGGGTCTCTGATGCCCCATCTGCAGAATGGGCAAAGCTCCAGAGTCCCCAAAGGAGGAGAGAGGCATGGAGCAACAGGAAGGGTGGTTGTGCGGAGCAACTGGGAACGGGGCAGTGGGTGGGGGGCAGCCTGAGAGACCCTCTCCCTCACAGCTCCAAGGCTCAGACCAAGGTGACTGACTGGATGTTCTGGAATGCCAGAAACCTCACACGACTCCAGGAGGCCAGTGTTTCCACATTCCCATTTACAGCTGGGGGAACTGAGGCACAGAGAGGCAAAAGCACGTGGCTCATGTCACTCTGGTAACAAAGGCCTGAGCTGGGACTCATGTGTGTGAAGGGCCCCAGCACCTGACCCACAACCTCAGAACTGCATTCTTGACACAACAGCAGGTGTCCAGTTACTGTGAGCAAACAATGACAAGGCACAGCGCTTCCAAGCAGTCCTGCCCTTCATGTGAGCCATGTGCTTTTTTTTTTCATTTATTTTTATTAGTTGGAGGCTAATTACAATATTGTAGTGTTTTTTGCCATACATTGACATGAATCAGCCACAATGGAATACTACTCAGCCATAAAAAAGAATGAAATAATGCCATTTGCAGGAATGTGGATGGACCTAGAGACTACCACACTAAGTGAAGTGAATCAGAAAGAGAAAGACAAATACCACATGATATCACTTATATGTGGAATCTAAAATATGACACAAATATTAATGAAACAGAAACACTCACAGACAAAGAGAACAGACTTGTGGTTACCAAAGGGGAGAGGGGGGAGGGGAGGGATAAATTAGGAGTTTGGATAAATTAGGATAAACATAGCATATACTATATATAAAATAAACAACCAGGACCTGCTGTATAGCAGAAGGAACTATGTTCAATATCTTGCAATAAGCCATAATGGAAAAGAATATGAAAAAGACTATATATATAACTGAATCACTCTGCTGTACACCAGAAACAAATACAACATTGCACATCAACTATACTTCAATTTAAAAATACATATATATATGTATATATATATACACACACACACACAAACACACACACATTCAGCAAGTGCAAACACAGAGCCTTCATCAAAGGAGAACAGAGCCTATGCCAGAGGCGGCTCCGCCAAGAGAACTGAGGACAGTGACAACACTGACAAGGACAGCAGCAAGAGTAATAACAGCAGACACTGATGTTATTGTGCACCTGGCACTGTTTTGAGTGGTTTACATGCAGTCATCCCCCACAAGAATCCTATGAGGTATGTTTCACTGTTATCCCCATTTTACAGTGAGAAAACTGAGGCACACAGAGGTTAAGTGACCTGCTCCAGGTCACCCAGCTAGGAGGAAGTAGCAGAGCTGGGATGTGAACCCAGGCCTTTGAGTTCCAAAATCTGGGCTCTCAACTCTGAAGCCGTGATTCTTCAAACCAGCCTCTCGGGGCTGGGGGGCTGTGGTGCGGTAGGCAAGACTTTTAATGATGCTCAGAAGGGTATGAGCTGCAGAGGCGACACAGAGGCGTGATGGTCCCCAAGCCTGAGGGGCTCTGTCACCACAGTTCTTCTAGGAAGACTCAAGTCCATCCTAGAGAAGACGGTTGCTCTGTCAGCAGCTGACTCTTCCAGGGAAGCCTGGGCTGAGGGGAATCCAGGGCAGGGGAGTGGGTGGAGGTAGGGATGGGGGAACAGACAACCCCCTGCGCAGGCCCTTGTTCCACCCCTGGGAGGGCTGCCGGCTTAGGCTCCTGTCTGCTGCAATGCAGAGGCCTCGGGGAGCCAGCAAGTGGGTGAGCGTGAGACAGAGCCTGGGGAGGGATGCTCTTGGCCTGGGGCCTCTGCAGGCCTGCCGGCTGCCCAGGCACTGCCAGCCACCTTGGCTGCAGCTCACCTCGGGGTGTGACGAGGAGTCCCTTTAGCCCTCAGGAAGGAGCTGGCATTCATAAGTGGGAGAGAAGGCAGACCTGCCAGAGACCAGCACGGGGTGGGGGTTGGCAGGAACACGGGCTGAACTGGCTCTCCCCACGCCTACTCCCAGTCACCGGGGGAATCCCTTCCCGACACCCTCCGCTTCAGGTAAAGCCAACCCATTTCATGGCCAGGCACCCACCTGGGAGCCCAGCTGTCTATCTTCCTCACTGGCATAAACAAAGTTTCGCACTCCAGCATCACAGGCTATTTGAATCACAGTTTACAGATGGGGAAACCGAGGCCCAGAGAGGGAGGGAGAGAGGCTGGTCTGAGGTTAGCCAGTGAGCGGGGGCAGGGCAGCCACAGCACCAGGGTGCCCAGCTCTCAAGTGCTGAGTCCTCCTACTCCAGGCTCTGATGGAGCAGAATCCAACTAGGGTCAGGTTACAGCCCTCAGTGGGGACAGGACGACTCTTGTTATTTTTAAAGTTACTGAGCAGCAGAATGAAGGGGATGTGACCATCAGCCCATATTGGGAGGAGGGGAGGATGGGGACCAGTGGGATGCTTGGAGCCACGTCCATGCTCTCCATCTGCCTGACATGGGTTTGGCCAGGTGAAGCTGGAGGGCAAATTGTGGGCACATGAGTGATGTGTGCCCCAAGGGACAAGGACAGGGTGGTGGCCAGAGGTCAGGGCACGCTGTGCCCAGGGCCTGATGTGCCCAGGAAGACAGGGTCAACTCGCCTTGACCCCGAGAGCTAAGGAATGCCATAGGATTAGCAAATGACCCCACCCTCACTGAGAGTCCTGTCAAAGGCTTTTCTTTCAGGTAGAAGAAATGGTGGTTGGGGCATCACCAGCTATCAGATGCACAAAAGGAAAGTCTGAAACAGCCAGGAGACAATAAATAGCAATTATTATTACAAGGGTGACAGCTACTGTTTACATTTACGGAGTATTGCTAAGTGTTTAACAATGAGCTAAGTGCCTGCCAGCTCCCTTCCTGATTATTCACTGCTACTCATGAAGGGTCTCTCAGTTATCATTCCCATTTTACAGGTAGGCAAATAAAGGCTTGGAGACATCAAATGACCCGCAGAGAATAGGTGAAACCCACTTCACTCTCTGGGACCCAGGCTATGCAGGGCTCCCAAGAAAGCGTCATAAAGGACCTGGAGGGGCCCATCCAGCTCAGTTCACCCCCAAATTCTGAGGGGAAATTTTCACCCCCCAGTGGTATTGCCCAGCTGACTGGAGCCGGTGCTGTGGGATGGTGTCACAGTGGGGTCTCCAGATGCAGGGCCAGGACTTCTTCCACCCTGACTCCCACCTTTGCTGAGCCCCCCAGCCCATGCTGGGCCCTTGGCGACTTGTCTCAGATGACCCACAGCGCTAGGTGAGGCGAACTGGGGAGCTACGGTGGCTTTCCTGCCAGCCTCCTTTGGTCGCCTGGCACCTGCCCGCCTGAAGCAAGGGAATGGAGGCCAGCCAATATCCAGGGGGCGGGGCAGTGGGCGGGGAATCCTGTCAGACCAGATGAAAGCTATTTTAATTAACCTCAGGTCTGGGGAGGAGCACCCTGCTTTAACAGAGACTTAGAAACAAGGCAGAGACCCTTGGGAACCCACAGGCTTAACTGCCAGGATGGAGGCAAAGAAGGCTCAACACACTGGCCAGCCAGGGTGAGTGGGGGGAAGGGGTTCGCCAAGGTCGGCAGGCTCAGGCCTGCCCCCAGATTTCTGATATAGCCAGACTCTCAGGATCTGTGAGCACCGCCCGCTGGAGGGTGAGGGGAGCCCTCGGAAGAGCTGCCAGTCAGATCCTGGGGGAACAGTCATCCCAGGATCCACCCCCAAAAAGCACCCCCACCATTTTCCAAGAGCTGGCGGCATCTGAAAGGTTAAAAAAAAAAAAAATTGCAATCTCCCTGCGGCGTGGAAAGGATGCTGCAGGGATGGGGGGCTGGGACCCGCGACTGCGGGCTCTGGGGTACCAAGACGGGGGCCAGGAAGGCTCGCAGGAGGCTCCCACTTTCTACCGAGATGCCTTTACTCCACCCCCGGGGCAGGGAGAGTCAAGTGGCCCCCAGCCTCTGCCCGGCGTAGCACCTCGACCTGAGAAAGATCTGGGTCGGAGGTCCCGAGCGCCGCACTCTTACCTGTTCCCTTACCTGGCACCAGGTGGGCCGTGGGGAGGGGGAAGAGCGGGCTGGGGTCCTCAGGGGCGCCGGTTCCGCGCGGCTCATTGGAGACTGCGCCCGGCGCTGCGCTCGCTCCACCCCTCCCTCCTCCCGCCGCTCCTCCGGGCCTCCCGCCCCCGGCTGCGCCGCAGGAAGGTCGGAACGAACCGGGCGGGGCGGGCACCCAGGCCCGCTTATGGGCGGGGAGGGGCCTCCTGCTGGGCGGGGCCTCTGTGGGGGCGTGGTCAGGATTACCCCCGCCCACCCGCGGCGAGCCCCGCCCCCATCCGCAAGGCCAAGGCCCTTCCGCTGGGGCTCTAGCCCTTAGAGGCCTCAGGCCCATTCTGAGCAGGAGGAAATGGCCACACCTGCTGCGGGGGGCCTGCTCTTTAATCTGCCTTTTGCTCCAGAGGGACAACCTTGCCAGCCCCGGAGGATGGAGGTTATGATCCTCATTCATTCAACCAATATTTGGTGAAAGGCACTATGTGCTGTGCCCTCTTTTAAGTGTTAAGAGATGCTGCGGAGGACAAAACAAGATCCTTGCCCTTCTGGGGCTGACATTCTAGTGAGAGAGGCGATACACATAATGAATAAACAAATTATACTTGTTGGAAGGGAATACATTTCGTGGAGAAAAATAGAGCAGGGTGGTGGGAAGTGGGAGAGAGGAGGGAACCTACATGTCCTCCGTGATCTCTGGGGTCTAGGTACTCGATGCTGGGTGTGAAAAAGAGAAAACTCCCATTCTCTGTGGGGTGGGGAAAATCAACAAGTAAATACGGTAAGATAATCTCGGGTAGTGCCAGGTTATTACTTATTTCCTGTAAATAAAACCGGGTGAGGCAACGGAAAGTGCCATGGGTCTGCTTAATTGGGAAGGGCTTCCCGAGGAAGGTGAAAGGGGAGGAAGAGGGAGCCATGGAGAGATCAGGAGGGGATGTATTCTAGGTGAAAGGAACTCCCAGTGGAAAGGCTCTGAGGTGGGAACTCATCTGGCATTTGAGGAACAGAAGAGGGATCCATTTATGGGCAGGAGAGTAGGTCAAGCCCAGAGGGGTTGGGGAGGTGGGGCGGCAAGATATGCCCCTGTCTCTATCCAGCCTTCAGTCAGAGATTGAAAACACTCCCTGAATTTAAAACAGCCTCTGTTTCTCACATGGGACAGCTTCTTTCAAGGGGATCTGGCCAAGTGCAGAATTGTAAATGCACTTCTTTTTTTTGACCCAGTAGGAAGTTCTTCTATACATAGACTTGTGGAGGGAGCGGAAGATACTAGTTTGCAGATAGTTACTGGAGGAGCAAAAGTCTGGTGGGAACTCGCTAAATAATTACAGAGCACGCTCAACAGAATACCCTGTAGCAAGGGGCGGGGGGGGGGGGGGAGGGGACTATGTATCAATCTATACACAAAAGTTAAGAAAGGTATGAAATGACCTCCTGAATGTGTTGAGTAAAAACAAGGGATAGAATCAAGCTGAAGTATGATACTGTTTGTGCAAAAACAAAAGCAAATATATAATTGTACCAGAAGAGAAGCTCCTGGATGGATTATCCAAAAGCTAGAGTGACTCAGAGCTGGGATCAGATTCAGGCTCTCTCATTTCTGCTGTGTGAGAATAGCCAACATCATATTGAAGGAGCAAACCAAAGTCATTGTGCTGACACTACCTGACTTCAGGACTTACTCTAAAGCTGCCATAATCAGGACAGTGTGTTGTTGACAAGAGACAAATAGATCAATGGGACAGTACAGGGAGCCCAGAAATAGACCCATATAAATATAGTCAACTGATCTCCCACAAAGGAGGAAAGGCAACACAGTGGAACAAAGACAGTCTTTTCAGCAAACAGCACTGAAACAACTGGACATCCATGTGCCAAAAAAAAAAAAAAAATCTTGTCACAAATCTTACATCTTTCACAAAAATTAACTCAAAATGGCTCACAGATCTAAATGTAAAACACAAAACTATCAAACTCCTAGAAGATAATGTAGGAGGAAATCTCTATTTTGCGGGGATAGAGATGATTTTTTTAGATATAACATCAAAGGCATGATCCATGAAAGAAAGAACTGATAAGCTAGACTTCATTAAAATTTAAAAAATTCTGGAAATTCCCTGGTGGTCCAGTGGCTAAGACTCCACACTCTCAATGCAGGGGGCCTGGGGTTCAATCCTTGGTCTGGGAACTAGATCCCATGTATGGGAACCAAGAGCCTGCATAGTGAAATTTAAAAAAAAAATTAAAACTTTCACTCTGATAAAGATATTGTTCAAGGAATGAGAAGACAAGCCACATACTGGGAGAAAATGTTATATATATATCTATATATATATATCTATATATCTGATAAAGGATTGTTATCCAAAACATACAAAGATCTCTTCAAATTCAACAATAAGAAAACAAATAATCTGAAAAATAGGGAAGAGATCTGAACAGACATTTCACAAATGAAAAATACAGATGGAAAATAAACATATGAAAAGACAGTCAATGTAATTTTCATTAGAAAATTGCAAATTGAAACGAGGTACCACTACATACCTAATAGAATGGCCCGAATCCAAAACACTGACAACACCAAATGCTGATGAAGATGCGGAAGGACAGGAACCCTCTTTCATCGCTGGGGGGAACGCAAAATGGCACAGTTACTTTGGAAGAGAGTTTGGTGGCTTCTTACAAAATCAAATATACTCCTACCATATGATCCCGCAATCACACTCCCCAAACGAGTTGAAAATCTATGTCCACACAGAAACCTGCACAAAGATGTTTAGGGTATCTTTATTCATAATTGCCAAAACTTGGAAGCAACCAAGATGTCTTTCAGGAGGTGAACGGGTAAAATGGTAATCCAGACAATGGAATAGTACTCAGTGCTAAAAAAATATATGAATTATCAAGCCATGAAAAGTGGGTAGAAACATAAATGCATATTACTAAGGGAGACGGTTTCCCAGGTGGCGCTAGTGGTAAAGAGTTGCCTGCCAATCAGGAGACATAAGTGATGCGAGTTTGATCCCTGGGTCTGGAAGATCCTCTGGAGGAGGGCATGGCAACCCACTCCAGTATTCTTGCCCGGAGAATCCCACGGATGGGGGAGACTGGTGAGATTCAATCCATGGGGTTGCAAGGAATCAGATATGACTGAAGTGACTTAGCACTCATGCACCAAGGGAGACAAGCCAATCTGAAAAGACTAAATACTGGATGATTTCAACTATAGCATATCCTGCAAAAGATAAACTATGGAGGAACTTCCCTGGCAGTCTAGTTGTTAAAACTCCGCACTTCCACTGTAGGGGGCACGGGTTTGATCCCTGGTGGGGAACTGCGATCCTGCATGCCTTGTGGTGAAGAAAAAAAAAAAAAACCTATGGAGACAGTAAAAGGATCAGTGGTTGCCAGGGGTCAAGAGAGGATGGGGAAGACTTCCCTGGTGGCACAGTAGATTAGAATCTGCCTGCCAGTGCAGGGGACACGGGTTTGATCCCTGGTCCAGGAAGACTCCACATGTTGCGAGAATAACTAAACAAGTACACCGTGACTACTGAAGCTTTCGCTCTTGCTCCAGGACCTTTGTGCTGCCATTACTGAAGCCCGAGAGCCTGTGCTCCACAACAGGAGAGGCTGCCGCCATGAGAAGCCTGCTACAACATACAGTAGCCCCTGCTCGCCACAACTAGAAAAAGCCTGAACAGCAACCTAGCGCAGCCAAAAAAATAAATAAGAAATTTAAAATAATAGTAATTTTAAAAAAGAGAGGAAGAGGGGATGAACGAATGGGCCAGAGCATAGACCATTTTTAGGGCATTGAAACGATTCCATATGACACCATATAGTGGATATGTGGCCCTATACATTGTCAAAAAGAGACATAGAATATGCAACTCCAAGAGTGAACCCTAATGTAAATGAAGTACTTTGGGTGGTAATGACATGCCAATGTGACAATCGATTGTAACAAATGTACCACCCGGTGTGGGATGTTGATGGTGGGGGAGAGGCTCTGTGTGGGAGACAGCAGGGAACACATGGTAAATCTCTATACTTTCCACTCTATTTTGCTGTGAACCTAAAACTGCTCTGGAGAAATAAAGTGTATTAAAAAATGGTTAAGAAGCCAATTTTACATTATGTATATTTTAACCACAATAAAAACTGTTCATTATAGCTTCATCCATGACATCCCTAAACTGGAAACAATGCAAATGCCCATCAGCTGTAGGGAGGTAAAATGAATGGTGGAGGAAGGCACCTAGTGGAATACTATGCAGCCACAAAAACCCAATAAGCCGCTGTTACATGTAACACTGATGAATCTTAAGGTCATAATGCTGGGGGTGGGGGAGAGATAAATTAGGATTTTGGGATTAGCAGATATAAACTACTATATAAAAAACAGATCAACAACAAGATCTTATTGTATAGCACAGGGAACTAAATTCAACATCCTATAATAAACTATAGTGGGAAAGAATTATGAAAAAGAATATGCATATATGTATAACTGAATCACTTGTCTGTACATCAGAAGCAAGCTAATAACACTGTAAATACACTACACTTCAATTAAAAAAAATTATGCTGAGTGAAAGATGAGGTATACCAAACAGCAGATACTACATGATTTTATCTATATTGAATTCAAGAACAGGCAAGACTGATCTTTGCTCTTAGAAGTCAGAGTAGTGACTGCACTTGAGATGGCCAGTCACTGATGGGGGACATGTGGTGGTGGGGGGGGGGGGTTGGAATGTGCTGTTTTGGGATCTGGGTGCTGGTTACGTGGGTGTGTCTAGTTTGTGAAAATTCGCCAAACTGTACACTTATGATTTGTGCCTTTTTGTACATGTGTGCTGGCAGTTCAAGTGAATATGTATAGACACATATCTATACATGTATACTATACACACACACACACACACACACACACACATATACATACACGTACATACATACATCACTCTGGAATCCAAAGGATGGGTGTTCTCCTTTTTTTGGCCATGCTGCGAGGCTTGTGGCATTTTAGTTCCCTGACCAGGGATTGAACCTTGTGAAAGTGCAGAGTCCTAACCACTAGACCACCAGAGAATTCCCCAGTTGAATGTTCTAATTCTGCTTCTGCATCCACCTGGTTTATGTCCCTACGCAGGACCCTGAACCTCACTGAGCCTCTGTTTCCTCATCTGTAAGATGGGGATAGCGGCTTCACTGGTGGCTCAGTAGTAAAGAATCTACCTGCCAATGCAGGAGTCCTGGGTTCAATCCGTGGGTCAGGAAGATCCCCTGGAGAAGGAAATGGCAGCTCACTCCAGTGCTCTTGCCTGGAAATCCTAAGGACAGAGGAGCCTGGCAGGTTACAGTTCATGGGGTCACAAAAGAGCTGGACATGACTGAGCAACTAAACAACAACAAAATTAAGGATAACAATATCTCACAAGGTCGACAGAAGTCCAAGTGAGTGCTGGCTGTGAGCACAGTGATTCGGTGCTTACTGTTATTATTGTGGCTGTGGTTCCCTCTGGTGATGGAGCCCAGGTTGGGGCTCAGTGGGGTTGGGGATGCCGTTTCCAGGGCAGCGGTGGGGCATGGGGAGGGCCAGTCTCAACTGAGAACACATTCATCTTGCAAAAACAGCCATAAAAGGAGCACCCTAACAAGTGAGCTGGCTGGGGTTGGGGGCTGCACATACCAGCCTGCGTGGTGGCTGCCTGGGCAGCTGGTCTGCTCCTGGGCCTGGGGAGGCGGGAGGGGGAGAGGAAGGTCCTGAGAAGGGGAATGAATGAAGACCTGGGGAAACAGATCCTCTCCTGGAGAGCAGGGCCCTTCACTATCGCTGGGCAATCAAGATGGCTGTAAACGTTAATCACCTGCTCAGGCCCCACATCTCTGGGCTGGGGAGTGGGGTCCTTGACGGGCAAGCAGGTCCCTTACTGTCATTCTCCTACCTGGGGAAGACGGGTAGTTTTTGGAGTCCCAGGTCTGGGCCGCAGACTCTCTGAGGTGCAAAGACCTGGCTTTCATGCCCAAGAAGGCACCTTTAGGAAGGAACCCTGCCAGACCGCACCACATATGAGCTGTGTGACCTCACATGGGTCATTCAACCTCTCTGAACCTCATCTTCCACATCTGTCAGATGGGGATAGCTCCTACCTCACAGGGTTTGTTGTGAGGACTAAACAGCTTCCCTTTGTATAGAATAAAATCCAAAATGTTGCCAGTGGCCCAAAGATTTGGTCCCAAATACAACCCTGGCCCTGTTCTCTATGACCCACCCTCTTGTAGGTTTTTTGCTGTTCTGCAAGCACTCCAGGCTCAGCCCACTGCAGGACTTTTGGGTTTACTGGGTTTATTAATACAAGTGTGTGATTGTGACTGTAATGTGGAATATTGCATGCATATAAAGGAGGGAGTGTTGACAGTGTGAGCACATGTGTGATTTTGTGTGACTGTGTGTTAGCATGTAAGGCTGTGTTTGAGTGTGTGCAAGAGTGTGTGTGACTGCGGATGTGAGTGTGACTGTGTGAGCCTGTGTGTACACAAGAGGAAAGGAAAGCAAAGTCATCAAGCAAATGCCAACAAAGGATTTCCCCGGCAGTCCCAGTGTTAGGTCTCCACGCTTCCACTGCAGGGAGCATGGGTTCGATCCCCGGTCAGGAACTGAGATCCTACAAGCTACAAAATATTCATATTGTGGTGAACAGGGAACTCAAAGGGAAGGAAGACTGTTGGGTTCAATCCCCGTATATATATGTCCCTTACTGAATGACATGGAGCAGGTCACTGCACCTCTCTGGGCCTCAGTTTCCCCATGTGTGCATGTGTGTTTAGTTGCTCAGTCGTGTTCAGCTCTCTGTGACCCCATGGACTGTAGCCCACCAGGCTCCTCTATTCATGGGATTCTCCAGGCAAGAATACTGGGGTGGCCAGCCATTCCCTTCTCCAGGGCATATTCCTGACCCAGGGATCGAACCTGGGTCTCCTCAATTGCAGGCGGATTCTTTACTATGTGAGCCACCAGGGAAGCCCCTTGCCCCTCTGTAACATGGTGATATAATAGTACCCAGGTCAAAGGTTTGCTGTAGGGATGAAAGGAATTAAGGTGAGTGGTAGTAGATGTGTTAGCTCAGGTCTGGTCGAGGTGGGGCTCAGGCAACAGTTGTCATCCATAGTCACTGTTTATCTGGGGAGTCTTAAAGCCCCAGAGTCTTCCTCTCCACCTCTATACCAGCTTCATGCTGAACCTTTGAGGGAACTCTAGTGCAGGAAGAAGTTCTATGGGTCAAGAATTGCTCCCCAGGTGTGCACCTTTGTTCTGCCAGCTCGGCAACATGACTGCCAGCCCAGCTTCTTCTTGGGGCTTTGCAGATTGGGACCTTGGGGGTGCATGGTGTACCATAATGGGGTTCCCAAGACAGAGTTATCAAGCAAAATGCTGCGCTGGATGAAGCATAAGCTAGAATCAAGACTGCCAGGAGAAACATCAACCTCAGATATGCAGATAACACCACCCTTATGGCAGAAAGTGAAGAACTAAAGAGCCTCTTAATGAAAGTGAAAGAGGAGAGTGAAAAAGTTGGCTTAAAACTCAACTTTCAGAAAACTAAGATCAAGGCATCCAGTCCCATCACTTCATGGCAAACAGATGGAGAAACAATGGCAACAGTGACAGTTTATTTTGGGGGGCTTCAAAATCACTGCAGATGGTGACTGCAGCCATGAAATTAAAAGATGCTTGCTCCTTGGAAGAAAAGCTATAACCAACCTAGACAGCATATTAAAAAGCAGAGACATTACTTTGCCAACAGAGGTCCATCTAATCAAAACTATGGTTTTTCCGGTAGTCACATATGGATGTGAGAGTTGGACTAAAAAGAAAGCTGAGAACCTTAGAAATGATGTTTTTGAACTGTGGTGTTGGAGTAGACTCGAGAGTCCCTTGGACAGCAAGGAGATCAAACCAGTCAATCCTAAAGGAAATCAGTCCCGAATATTCATTGGAAGGACTGATGCTGAAGCTGAAACTCCAATACTTTGGCCACCTGATGCGAAGAAATGACTCACTGGAAAAGACCCTGATGCTGGAAAAGATTGAAGACGAGAGGAGACGGGGACGACAGAGGATGAGATGGTTGGAAGGTATCACTGACTGGGAGGACATGAGTTTGAACAAGCTCCAGGAGTTGGTGATGGACAGGGAAGCCTGGCGTGCTGCCGTCCATGGGGTCGCAGAGTCAAACGGGGCTGAGAGACTGAACTGGAGTGAACTGAAGACAGAGTTGCGTGTACTGTGATTGGGTCTCCGCGGGCACGCTCTATCAAACAGAAACATACTCATCTCACACTTGGCTGTGCAGAACTTGAACCTGGTTGCGCGGGGTGTGGCCACGACCGAGCACACCCTATTCCCCCCCTCACACCTGAATCCGGGAGGAGAGCCACCGGAAGTCTCGCCGGTCGGAGCCCTCTCTTGGAGACACCCTCTGGGGCACTCTGCGGCGAACCCTAATAGATAGTGGGGTAGGCTTCGGGAGCGCCGGGCAGGGACAGGGATGAAAGCTAAACCCAAGCTCAGACGCACAAAACTGGAGCGCAGTTGGAACAAAATCGGACCCCAAGACTCCAACTGTCCTCGTGACGTCAGCTGGTCCTCTAAAAGCTCCTAGCAGGAAAAGAAAGCAGCGTGTTTAAGCCGAAGGTCTTGGAATTCCGAGTTCCTACTTCTCCACGTCCTGTGAAGGTGTGACTCAAGTTCACTTATCTATAAAAAGGGATGATTAATCCCCGCCTCGCGGATGGAGAAACTGTGAAGCAGCGGCCCATTAGGCTGGCGTGCTCTTAGGGGACGCTGTCAGTCCCACTCCTGTCTGGGAGTATCTTTCTGCACCGCAGACCGTTTTCTGGAGCGGAGTCTTCGTTCTTATCTGCACTTGGGAATTTAGAACGGACCCTTGGCCGCTGGTTCCAAACCGCGCCCCCGCCCGACTGGGGGCGTACCCGGAAGTGTCCCTACGGTAGCCGGCGGGGCAGTGCAACGCTTCTCACCATGGGGACCGCAGCGGCTCCCCGGCGCTTCTGCCGCTGCGCTTGCTTTTGCTCAGAGAACTTGTACGTGGCGCGCTACGGGCTTCACGTGCGCTTCCGGAGCGAACAGCAGCTGCGCCAGGACTACGAGCCCGTGAGTGGCTTCTATTGGCTCTGCGGGGAAACGAGAGAGAGCGGTGGTGGAGGAGGGACCTCAGTCGCCGGGGTCATTTACTTTGCCTTTGGCGCGCTCAGATCGGACGAGAATGACTTAACCTCAGATGCATCCCTTATTTTCCACCTCAAATGGCGATCATGGTATCGCTTTAGTGAGACTGTCGTGAGGGATCAATGAATGAACTGCATGTAAAGTACTCAGGGCAGGGCCTGGCTGAGTCCTCTCTGTTATTAACAAGAGCCGCTGCTGTGTGCTTAACGTGCTTATCACATTTCATTTTTACGATGATCCTGTGATCGGATCATCTCAAGGAGGAGAAGCTGAGGCTCAGAGACCTTAAGAGAAGACTTGCCCCAGGTCACACTATCACGCTTACTGGTTTTTCTGCTCCCAGATCCTGCGCAGGCGAGGCTGTGTCAGCCCTAAAGACTTCCAGCAGCTGTTGGGAGAGGTAACACTCCCCACCCTCCACCGCCCCTTCTGCACCCAGCCCGGCTCTTCCTGTGTAGATTTGTGTCAGCAGCTTGAAGGGTCTCCCGGCCTCAGGTCTGCCAGTGTCAGATCCTGGAAGGGCTCCTTTGACCTCCCCTTACCTCCTTCCTGTCCCCACTTACCACAGCACCTGGGTGCTGGCACCAGGACAAGAGAAAGCAGGGAAAATGCCAAGTTATCTGCTTTGTGCCCATTTGAGATGAGAAACTTGCACTCAAGGGGAGGAGTCACCTTAAGGTTTCACAGCAGGTGCCACCAAGCTCCTGACTCTTCATTCTCCCCACCCCCCTACCACCACTTCTGCCTGTCTCCCATGGGGAGGTGGTGTTGTGTTGAGAAGCTTCCTAGGACAGCCATCTTCAGCCTCTGGAACACAAGACTTAACCAGTACTCTGTTTCCCCTCCTTGGTTGGGCCCAGCTGATGAAGGTGCAGCGATGGGTCTCAATCCAGCCAAGCTGGTGCAGCCCTCAGTGGGATGGGCCCCGTTCTGGTAGGAATCCCCTTCAGCTAAGTTTAACACGTGCCATTTACCCTGGCAGAGTCAGGAACATAGGAAGACTGGGCTCCCAGCTCTGGCCTTGCCTTGAGTTTCCTGAGCCTCAGTTTCCTCATCTGTATGATGGCCTTGGGAGGGATGGGAGGCCCCATTCTGGTAACCAGGCCCTGTGTCACCCCAGCTTGAGCAGGAGGTGGAGCGGCGGCAGCGGCTGGGGTTGGAGTCGGCTGCCAGGAAAGCCCTCATTGCCAGCTCCTACCACCCAGCACGGCCAGAGGTCTACAACTTGCTGCAGGTACTTGGCAGGGGACAGGTTACTGGAAGGAGGTGGAGGCATCTGGGCCTGGGGGCTGTCTGCCCCATGGCTGATGTGTTCTGCCCCCAGGAGGCCGCTTTGGCCCCTGAATTTCTGGCTGCAGCTGAATACAGCACATCGTCAGGCGCAGACCTTAAGGGCCTTCTCCAGCGGCTGGAGACAGTGTCAGGTGAGGTCTTGGCCTGCCACCTGGCAGGAATGGGGATGGCAGACTGGGGTCCCTTCACCCACCATATCTGCCTCTAAAAGTCAAATGAGCAGGAGTGAGAAGAGGGGTGGGATGGAACTGTCAGGAGGAGGGCATCTGTATTCACTCATTTGCACACGCATCCACCACAGTGATCAGTAATTCAGTGCTACGCACCAGGCACAAGCCAGCCGGCATCCTCAAACTGGGGTGACTGAAGACGTTAATGAGGGAATGGTTGAGACAAGTGTGGGCTCAGCAAGGGATGTTGAGAGACCTGCCCCAGGGTTAGCAGTGGGGGTGGGAATGGGGAGCAGTTCCCATCCCAAGACCTGAAGGAGGGGGCAAGAGCAAAGTCTCCCGAACCTGCCAGGACCTGGAGCTGGGGGGTGAGGGGTGGCCAGCCATGATGCACATCTGAATTTGGGGGTCAGACCTCAGGGCAGGATCTAGGGATGGGTGGTGGGGGGGGTCCAAGAATAGGGCACCCTTGTCGCACACGTTATGTCATTTCATCATCACAAGAGCCCTGAGAGGTGAGTACTCACGTCATCCCTACTCTGCAGGAGACTGAGGCTGGGGGAACTGAAAAGGTTAGCTCCCACCTAACCAGCCGTCCCTCCATCTCCCTCCGCAGAGGAGAAGCGAATTTACCGGCTGCCGGTATTCACAGCACCCTTCTGCCAGGCCCTGCTGGAGGAGCTGGAGCACTTCGAGCAGTCAGACATGCCCAAGGGAAGACCCAACACCATGAACAACTATGGGGTGGGTGAGGCTCCACCCAGCCGGCACAAGGAGGCAGGGACGTCCGTGTGGGGAGACCTGTTCCCAGCGTAGACCTTCTCCGAGCCTTGGTCTTCCCATCTGTCAGATGAAATCAGGCAGTATTATTATGAAGTTAAGCACATTGATGATGTCTGCACAGCGCTCAGCACTGTCCTTAGTGAGGGGCTCCCCCAGGGACAGGCCCTACCAGCTTCCCTGCTAATTCTGGGCTCCCCCACCCCCAGGTGTTGCTGCATGAGCTGGGCTTGGATGAACCGCTGGTAACGCCGCTACGGGAGCGCTTCCTCCAGCCGCTAATGGCACTGCTGTACCCAGACTGTGGCGGGGGCTGGCTGGACAGCCACCGGGCCTTTGTGGTCAAATACGCACCCGGCCAGGACCGCGAGCTGGGCTGCCACTACGATAACGCCGAGCTCACCCTCAATGTGTCCCTGGGCAAGGCCTTCACAGGGGGTGCCCTCTACTTCGGGGATCTCTTCCAGGTTAGTGTGTGTAACCCATGGGGCTGGGCTGGAGCCACCGCGAGTACCCAGGCCTGAGTCCCACTGTCCACAGGTGCCTTCGACCCTGGCCAGGCCCTTGGAGGTGGAGCATGTGGTGGGCCAGGGCATCCTGCACCGGGGGGGCCAGCTGCACGGGGCCCGGCCCCTGGGCACTGGTGAGCGCTGGAACCTGGTCGTCTGGCTCCGGGCCTCAGCCATGCGCAACCGCCTCTGCCCCATGTGCTGCCGCAAGCCCGACCTAGTGGATGACGAGGGCTTTGGCGACGGCTTCACCCGTGAGGAGCCCGCCACGGTGGATGTGTGTGCCCTGAGTTGAGCTTGGCCAGGGCCAGTGTGGCGGGCAAGGACGGAAATAAACACCCTGCAGCCCTCAGCACTTCTTGCTTCAAGAGGACACACAGGCTTCCGGGTCATTCTTTCAGCAGACAGGCTGGCTTAGGTCTGGTTTGTACACCAGAGCCTGAGACAGGAATTCCTGTGCAAGTGGTTTAAGGAGGGAGCGCTCCAGGGAGGAGGAGCAGGACAGGGTAGGAAGGAGCTGGAGCAGGACGGTCTGACACAGCATCCAGCTTCAGCCCAATCCCACGGGGCTCTCTGGAGCATGAACTGTAGCAGTTTGCCCCCCAACAGCAGTTATTGGCTATGGGGTATTTCAGGGTATGGAGGGGGTGAGTAACTTCTTAAACATCCACCTCCAGGGCAGTGTGGCTCCCAGTGGCCAAGGGAATCTTCCAGACTAGAGTCCAGGTGTGGGGTGTCAGTAGCAGACACCATGGCTAAGGTCGAGTGCACCTGTCTTCTTAAGGGGATTTGGGTGGGTCACCAACAGCATCTTCTGGACAGTATGGAGGAGTTACTTCAGAGGGATTAAAAGCTGGGCCATGGAGCCAGACTGCCCGGGTTCAAATTCTGATTCAGCCACTTCCAGTTGTGACTGTGGGTAAGCCACGTGCCTCTCTCTGCCTTAGTCTTTTTTTTCTGGAGAGTACCTATGTCCTAGAGCTGTTCTGAGGATCAAATGACTTCCCACTTATAAAGCAATTTACAACAGTCCTCTGGGTTTGTTGCTGTCATTACTGTCAAAGAGTTTGCAACTCAGTGGCCGCAAGACTGAATGAGGCATGCAGCTATGCTATGTTTGGGAGGGTTTTCCATGTTGGAATCTTGAGTTCGGGCTCCCCTGGGAAAGTGGGAAGATCTGGAAACATCCGGCCCCAGTCCACATTGCAGAAACCAGCGAGACCAGACTCAGCTGCCCCCACTCTCGAGACCTGTGGTACACTCTTTCACAGGGGTCCCTACATACGTTGCTGTGATCTTTCTGGCTTTTATGGATGTCTGGGTTTGTGATCTCTGTATTACTAAATGCAGACATCGGAAAGATCAAGGTTCTGGAGCTCACGGCCTGCTGGTGTGGACATGTCCGCAGAAAATCCACAGTCACCGCCTCCCCTGGGCTTCTCAGGGACTGGGGGTGTTGCAGGCCCGCCGAATAGGACAGAGATGGGAGAGGGCATAGCTGCGGCAAAGGGCCTGTGAGCTCTGGGACTGGTACCAGGCTGGAGAGCAGGTCTCTCCGGGAGCTCTGCCTAGAGGCGGAAGCCTGGAGCCCCAGCTCGCCTCTCTGGGAGGTGAGCGCGCCAGACGGCTTCTTGGGCTGTCCCACAGACGGAACCTGGGGCTTCAGAACTAAAGGCAGCAGCGCCTTGCTTCGCGACCGGACAGCCTCCCAGTGCACCGCCCCGGGCCGGAAGTCACCCTGCCGTTGTTTCCTCGCCTCCTCACGTGAAGGCGTGGTGCAGGGTTGGCGGTCCCGTCGGATGGGCAGTTGAGGGAGCGGAGCAGCCCCGGGAACTTTCTTTGAGGCGGCAAGGCCGCGGAGGGCACGAGGTGGAGGGTAGGAGCACGTGGGAAGGGAAGAGGAAAGCACCTGGCAGTTGAGGAGCGCGGCCGTTCCTAGAGGCGCCTGAGCTGCGCGCGCAGCCGTGAATCGTCCGCGCGGGGGCGGACCCTTAAAGGGGCCGCAGCGGAGGAGCCGGGAGTCCGCGAACTTGGGTTATCCCGGGTTGGGGGTGGGCGAGGTACGGTTGCTTCTACTCTCCCTCAATAACGCTGCCCCGGGTAGTGACGGGTGCCAGGCCCCAGAAAACCAGGCCGAGTCTGGTCGACTCGGCCAGAGTACAGCCTCCCTGGGAACCCAGTCTGCGGGCCAGCCCCGAGATCGATCCCGGGTTTAAGCGCGCCTTCGTGTCTGCAGCTCGCGGCGCTATGGCTCACGTCGGCTCCCGCAAGCGCTCTAGGAGTCGCAGCCGTTCCCGGGGGCGAGGGTCGGAAAAGAAAAGGAAGAAGAGCAGTAAGGACGCCCGGAGGAGCTGCTCGGCTTCGAGATCCCAAAGCCGCAAGGCCAGCACCACCTCCTCTGGGGCGGAGGGTGAGGACCAGAGGGAATGGGAAAGGGATGAGAGAACCTGAGGGAGGAAGTTGCAGGCAGTCGGGAGGGCTTCTCCAGACTGACTTTGGGAAAATCGCAGGGAGCATTATTCAGAGGGACACAAGAGTGTAGATCCTTGCTATCTGGATTGAAAGACGCTCAGAATCCAGGGGTTGCGCCAACCCATTGAATACGGAATGAAGCGAGCACTTACTCATATTTTTTGGTGTAGCTGGGCCTAAGATGTGGGGGCTGGCCACCTTGCTTCTGGGCAGACAGTGACTGCGGAGTCGAGAAAGTGCCTCTCCACAGCGTGCTGAAGCCCTTGCGAGGAGGTAGTCAGCCTGAGCCTGCTACAGGCCAGAGCAAGGGGACGAAAGTTTACTTCTTCCCCTCCTGGCCTTCCAGCCTCACCTTCTCCCTGCATCACAGAGAGAAGCAAGCACAAGGCCCGGAGGAGACCACGATCCAGCTCCTCCTCCTCTTCTTCCAGTTCTTCTAGCTCCTCTTCCTCTTCGTCCTCCTCCTCTTCCTCCAGCGATGGCCGGAAGAAGCGGGGGAAGCACAAGGACAAGAAGAGGAAGAAGAAGAAGAAAAGGAAGAAGAAGCTGAAGAAGAGAGGCAAGGAGAAGGCCAAAATGCAGCAGACCGAGGCTCTGCCTGGACCCTCGCTGGACCAGTGGCACAGAGCGGCCAAGGAGGAAGAGGATGGCCCAGGTACTGCGCTGCCTGGTGTGCAGGGCAGGGAGGCTCCCCTCCCTGAGGCCCTGCCACCACCTCCCTGCCATCTTACCTTCCAGTCCTGACGGACGAGCAGAAGTCCCGCATCCAGGCCATGAAGCCCATGACCAAGGAGGAGTGGGATGCCCGGCAGAGCGTCATCCGCAAGGTGGTGGACCCGGAGACAGGACGCACCAGGTGGGGTGCGCTGGCCCCAGGCCGCACTCTCAGGAGGAGGGATGGGGCTGCTGCTGCTCTAAACAGGCTGAGGACCAGGGGAAACGTCCCTTGTTGATGAGACTTCTCAGGCCATTGCTCCCTATTGGCTGGAGTAGGCGATTGCAGGGGCTGGAAAGGCCTTGAGGGAGGGTCTTCAAAGAGCCCCAGCTGGCCTGTCTGATGGCAGAGCTACCCTCTGCCCTCATCTCTGTGGCAAGGGAGGGAGGTCAGGAGGGAAGAATGGGAGTGGCCGGCAGGGTGTGGCAGCCTGCTCAAGGGGTGGTGGGGCCTGAGGCCTGGCACTCCCTGCCGGTGCTTCTGGTTCTGGTGCTCTGGCCTCTCAGAGGCTCAGCCTGCCCACCCTCATCCCCAGGCTCATTAAGGGAGACGGCGAGGTCTTAGAGGAAATCGTCACCAAGGAACGACACAGAGAGATCAACAAGGTGGGTGTCGCCCCCTTACCCAGGCCCACCCCCAGCTCTTCTTCTGACCTGCCCTCCCCACCGTGTGCTTTCTTCCCCAGCAAGCCACCCGAGGGGACGGCCTGGCCTTCCAGATGCGAGCAGGGCTCCTGCCCTGAGGCCCCACCCCCCCCAGCCCCCGGCCAAGGCCTGCTACACAGTGTTGGCACGACCTGGAGGCTGGACTCAGGGTGGGCAGCGGGGAGCCTGCTGCGTGTTCTTTCTCCTGCAGACCAGCCTCTGGCCCAGCCTCCTCTCCATTGCAGGGAGTGGAGGTTGGGGTCACTGGCCGAGTCAGCTCCCCCATCTCCCGAAAGAGCGCACCTTCCCAGATATTAAATGTTCCCTGGTTGGAGACGTCCTCTGTGTTGTTGCTTTTTGTGCTGAGCGGGAGGGAATGGTGCAACCCGACTTCAGGGCAAAATAAGGACTCGGGGAGCTTTGGGGGGCAGGGGGCACACCCCAGCCACTCTTGTGGTCCTCACCCTCAGGTCAGCCCGCCTGGACCAGAGCCCCACCCACCCCAGCTGAATCCCAAACCCTCAGCTGTTAGACTGATTTCCTCAGGCCTGGAGGGAAGCTGCTGCCCTTGCTGTTAACTCTGCAGATAAGAGAGTCCTGCAGGCCTGGGAGGAGTCCTGGCCCAGCTCACAGGCTGTGTCCTCTGTGAGGCAGAGGCTGACAGCACCCCCCTCCATCACTGGATTACTGTGAGGACAGACTGAGTTCATACCCAGGAAGGGGCCAGAAGGAAGCCCAGCAGAGATAAGGCCCACGGGAGTGTGTTGGGATTATTGTGAACACAGCTGGCATTGTGTACTGGGAAGGACTGCCTTCACCCCCAAGGGCAGGCCGCACCCCCACCCAGCCCCCACCCCCAGTGCCCTGGTGGCCGGCGCAGTACTGAGACCCAGAAGGAAGCCTTCCTGCTTCTTTAATCGGTGTAACAGATGACACACAGTACACAGAGCACACTCGGGCCCGATGGAGCAGGGACAGCAAGGGCGGGCGGGGGTACGTCAGGACACCGCTCACAGGCGGCCCAGACAGACAGGACAGACAGACGGGTTGAGACGTGAAGACTGCGACGTGGCAGGCGGGCAGGCAGGCAGTTCAGACCGAGCTGGGAAGGGGGCATGGGGTCTCTGCTGAATCCCTCTTTAGAAATCAAAGAGAAGGCAGGTGGTGGGGTCTGGGAGTGGCGGGCTGAGGCTCAGTCCTGGGGGTGGGGGGGCTGGGACTAAGGCTTCTACTCTAACAGGCCTGGGGTGGGGTGGCAGTCAGCAAGGCCTGCCTCACCCTTTGGTTATGACTGGTCGGGCCTGAGCCCTGCAGCTCAGCACCCAATGCTGTAAACATTTTTGGTATTTTTAAAGGACTCTGTCCTCCCTCTCTTAGTTTCTGAAAAACTGGTGCTTCCTTAAGAGGATAATGTGCCAAGAGGAATCTGAAGGGAGGCAGGAAGCCGACCTGGATATAGAAGAGAGACGTCCACGGGGAGGGTGGGCTGCCCACCTCACCATCTATGGCTGAGGGCCGCTGGGAGAGGCCCGGACTATTGCTGTTGTCCTTGGCATGGCTGGCGGCTGGGTAGGCAGGCGGGGAGCTCGGAGCCATGGGGCAGCGGCCCACTGGGAGAGGCCGAGCTCACTGCCCACCCAGCCTCCCGGGGCTGGCGGCCTCCAGGCCTTTATTGCAGGCGGGCCGAGACTCTTGCAGGTGCTCCTCCATCCGGATGGCTGCTCACCGAGGCGACAGGCGAGATGGGGTGAGGTGGGACCGACAGGAGGAGGCACTGGCCACGGGGCCCCTAGCTGGGGCTGTGATTGTCGGGCCGAGTGATTCCCGCTGGGAGCAGGGGGTTAGATATTGCACTTTCACTGCAACATTTACATTAAAACTTGGTCCATAAAATAATCGTCGCTTTATACATAATGCCGGAAACAACAAAAAGCTACATCTTAAATATGAATAAGTCCTGAAGGTCCCATCCCTCCAGACATTTTTCTCTGCACAAAATAAATAGCTTTCACTCTGTACAGACCCACTTTTGCAGAACATTTACATGACCCTTTGGCTGTACATATCTACACAAGGGAAAATGTTAACATCTGTCTGCGTGCCTCACCTTCCCAGCCCGCGAGGCCCCGAGGCCGTATCCAGGTTGCCAGCCGCTTCTCACAGAAGGGGCCTGGATGTTGGACGGCTGGCTGAGGCCTGGCAGGCTCCCCTGTCGTGAAGGGGGTGGAGGAGCAGCAGAGGGGCTGCCTGGAGCCGAGGCCACAGCCGAGATCGCGGTCAGTTCTGGGGAGGGAGGGCTGATGCTCAGACCCAGCGCACAGGACAGCGTGGTCCTTACCAAGTGGGAAATGTAGTCATGGCTGCCTGCCCTTAAGCTAGCTAAGCGAGTTGTGGCTTCTTAGATTCGGCATCGAAACGGAATTGGCATTAAAAAAAAAAACTAAGGGTGTGCCCCACTCACCCCAGAGTAGAAATTCTGTGGACTTAACGGGGCTCGGGTGAGGCAGAGAGGCCACGCCCCGCTGCCTGGGCAGCGGACAGGGCCCTGGGACCCAGAACCAGGCTGGACTCCGTCACAGTGCTGGGTGTTTTCATGTGGAGGGGCTGCATTTGGTACAGAAAGAGTTAAGAAAAGGAAGCAGCCAAGGATTGCTCGATTAAAAAAACCTCATAGAAATCAGATTGGAGAAGTAGAAAGGTGTAGAAACGCGGAGGGAGGGCCGAGGCATGGAGCCTTGGCTGATGGCAGGCAAGGAGAAGAAGAGAAGGCCAGGCCTGTCCAGGCCCCGCAGCCCCAGGCGAGGCTTCTCAGGAGCCACTTGGCTTCACCGACTGACCTGGGAGTCTGAGCTGTACCCAGGGCAGAGATGGCGCCAGGCCCGCGGCTGAACTGGGCTCCAAATGGGGCAGGTGGAAGAGGCTGGGGTCTGGGGCTGCCATGGGTTCATGGGCCAGGCAGAGTGGCAGAAATTATGATATGGCCTTTCTCTCCTATTTGTACAAGGATTCTCTGCCCTGGAGCCTTCTGTGTGGCGGCAGGTCTTGGATGGGCAAACGTTGAATTTTCATGCATGTCCATGAGTCTGTAGCCATAGGAGATGGTGATGAATCTCCACTCTCAAAAATCAGTGCAAAACCAGTGAGGTCAAACAGTTGAGTAACTCGAGTCAACAAGAAGCAGGCTGTCCCCCGTCGCAGCTGCTACCGAGTGGGAAGGGACCTGGGGGTCAGGGTGAGCAAGTGGATGGGAGGGGCCCAGGCCTGGCATCAGAATGCGGGGGTGGGGTGGGGGGGTCAATGCAGGGCAAGCGTCCAGGAGCGCCTTCTGGCCAGTCCACGTTGGGGGTCCTGGTCCCTAGGTCTTCCCAGGGATGGCTGTCCTGCCAACTTCCACGACCAGCTGGAACCCCGCAGACCCTCAAGTGTGAGGCTGGGCTGGGAGGGCTGTGTCTGGCACAGCCCGTGTCCTCTGCCGGGCCCTGGGACGAGCTTTGCCCCGGCCGACCGTACGTGCCCAGGCCAGGCCTCCTGGCAGGGCGGGCCGCCCTGGCCTAGCACCATGGAGACCACAGCGCCTCACTCCCGGTGCCCTACTTGGGGCCCGCGGCTGCGCCGGGCTCTGGCCGGCTGGCCAAGGTGCGGCCCCAGCAGCCGGCCGCCATGCTCATGCTGCGCTGTCCCCGCTGCTCGCTGTCCGCCTGGCTCTGCGTCCGCTCGTGCGGCCGGGGGCCGGGGCCGCTGGGCTGGGCCGAGATGGTGCGGAGCAGATGGTTCCGGGAGCGCAGGAAGTCGCCTTGGCCTGGCAGGCCGAAGCTGCCCTTGCGCAGCGCCATGCGGGTGGCCGCGTTGCGGGCCGGCCGCGCCCGGTGGTTGTACTTGAGCTGGGCCAAGTGGGCCGCGTAGCCGTCGGTGATGAACTGCGGGTGAGGGCAGCGGGGAGCACGGCTGTCAGGGGGCGGGGCTCCGGGGTAGCCCGGCAGTCGGGGGCGGGGCTTCCAGGGCGGTGCGGCAATTCAGGGGGCGGGGCGCCCAGGGCGGCGCGGCCGTCGGAGGGCCGGGCTCCCAGGGCGGTGCGGCAGTCGGGGGGTGGAGCTGCCCGCCTGCCCCGCCCACCTGAACTCCGCTCACCTGGCACTGCTGCTGCAGCTTCTTGGTCGGCCGGCCCACGATGTAGATCTGCATGGGGGACAGGCTGATGGAACTGTAGACCGCCACGTCCTTGGTGGAGCCGTAGGCCGCGTGCACGCGCAGGTGCAGCTGTGGGCGAGACCGGTGTGGGCGCAGGCTCAGCCCTTCCGCCCCACCCCCACCCCGCTCCCTTCCACCCGGGGACCCACCTCGGAGATGAGCAGCTTCAGGAAGTTGGCCTTGTGCCGCAGGGGGTCGTGCACCAGACCGTCACAGAAGGACACCACGCCGTGGGGGAAGTTGTGCTGAGCCAACCACGCCACCACCCGCTGCTTCTGCATGTCAGGCCGGCCAGTCACGTAGATGATGAGGTAGCCCAGGTCCTGCCAGTGCCTGGGGGCGAGGGGCAGGCCTGGGTGTCCCACGGCCGCACTGTCCTCTCTCTGGGACTGCCTGGTCTCCTTGCCCAGCCAGCCCCACTAGTGGGCACAGGCTTCAACAGTAACAGCCCCAGCATGGTGCTCACTGCTTGGCTCTCACAATCCCCACTCCCACCCTCTGCAGCAGATGTAACTGGTCTTGTTAGGAAAAGCCCCACCTCCCAGGTGAGGGAACTGAGGCATCCACAGCAAGAGATTCCAGCTGGGAAGTGGTGCTGCTGGCCCCTCCAAGCCACAGTGTCCCTGCCCTCTGTCCCGGCTCTGGCACCCAAGACCATCCCCTCTGCCCAGCCCCCAGCTACCTGCCTTCGAGCCCACCCGCTGCCCTTGGGGGCACTCACCGCACCACGTCCACGGCCCCGGCCCGCACTTTGGGGTCGCTGCCCATGATGGACACGCTGGCAGCGAAGGAGCCGTCGATGCTGAAGACCACGAACTCCGTGCCCTTGGGCAGCACGGTGATGTAGCTGTCAGCAAACGTGTGGTCTCCCCTGGGAGGGGGTGGCTCGTCAGAACCCACCAGGGCCCCTTCCTCCAGCCCCAGACCAGGTCAGCCCACTCACTCGTTCCTCCCAGCTCCTACCTGACCACCATCTTGATGGGGTAAACACCCACACCTAGGCGATGGGTCTCGGGGATGGTGTAGGAGACGCGCCCACTGCTGTTGGTCACCAGCGTGTCCAGGTACAGCCACTCACCCGAGGGCGGCTGCATCATGATGTGCACGTCCACCTGGAGCCAGGCAGGCCGGTCGATCATGGGTGGTCATGCCCCTGACCTCCCCACCCCCCACTCTCCACCCCTCAGCCAGAGGGAGGTGGGGTGGGGTGGGGGGCTCCCGCAGGCTCCCCAGGTCTTTACCTTTTCCCCGGTCAGGGTGACCATGTCCAGGGGCCCGTACATGAACCGGCCCGTCAGGACCTGTGGGCCATCCTCGTTGGCGACCGCATCATTGATCCGGTGGTTGGCTGTCACATTCTGGGGGGGTGTGCAGGAGCAAGGTTGGGTCAGGGTGGGGGATGGAGGGGTGGCTGGGGTCTCCTGGGCTCAGCTCAAGCTTCCCAGGGGCCTAGGGGTTGAGCATGGGCACAAAGTCAGGTGGCCCAGGGTTCAAGTCCAGCTTGGCCACTGACCTACGTGGCCTTGGTGTGGGTCCCTGTCTGTAAATGGGGGAACAGCTCTAACCTCAGACTGTGAGGATTAAGTAAGACAGCACACATCTCTGTGACTCAGTTTCCTCATCTGTAAAATAGGGTTTTCTCAGGAGGATTCAATAGGATAATAGCCCTGGGCCCGGGGCACCCAGAGGACCCCTCACCCGAAGCTTCACATGGGTCCTCTTGCGCTGCCACTTCTCTCTCGGCTTCGAGGGAGTGAACACCGAGACCTCCTTGCCATCCAGCTCCAAGATGCTGGAGTTGTCATGCCTCATGACCTGCGAGGGGGAAGAGGGGGGTCATGGGGCAGACTCAAGCCTGGGGCTTCCTGTTCCACAGGGAGAGGCCAGTGGCCCTAGGGGCCCAACTAACCCTGTGAGGATTTGGGGGGACAAACCCCACTACAGTCCACCCTTTGGACCCCCCCAGAATTCACATCTGTCCCGTGAAGGTGTACATCTATTCACCCCATCTCCACGGCTTCCTCTGCTGGGGCCAGAAAAGCGGAGTCCCCCACCGTCCTCATTTATGAAATGAGGCTGAGTCAGCAGCTGGGTCGCTCAGGGACCTGAGAGGTGTCGGTCTGCCTGGTAGGGTGACTCTGGGTACCTGTCTCAGCAGGAAGGAGACCACATCTGTCGACTCCCAGTAGCTGGCGTGGAAGAGGTGGGGCAGGGCCACGGTGGGGAAGGCCGTCAGGGCGTCGGGGCAGTACAGGGCATAGTCGATCCGCTTCTGGCCCCACCACTTCGCAGCAACTGCCAAGAGGAGGGGACCATGGCTGGGCTGGGCCCCCGAGGGTCACCTGGCCCCTCAGGCCTGGCTCTGCCCAAAGACAGAACCCTCCTCTGACCAGGGAGCAGGACCACCACCAAAGCGAGTCTCCTTCTCCCAGGCTTGGCGACAGGGGAGTGGAGGAGAAGGCACAGAAGTCCGGGACAGCAGCAAGCGGTCCAAGCGCCCCGGGGAGGGGGAGTGGGGGCTGTGGCTCGGCAGGCAGGTGTGGAGTTAGAGGGGGAGGGGAAGAGCCCAGTGTGAAGGCAGGACTCCCTGGCCCTGGTCAACCCCTTGTGGACCCCCGCCCTGGGCTTCATCACTGCCCTCTCCGGGCTTCCCCTGGGCCCCTAGAATGCCTCCCCCATCCCAGGCCTCAAGGCTGTGAAAGGCTTCCCTGAGCGGGAGTCTCAGTTCCTGGGCCCCAAGGCAGAGGCCTGATGCCCTCAGCCCCTGGCAGGCAGAGTGTGAAGTGAGGGTGTGTGCAGGTGAATCTGGCTCCCCCTTGGGGCTGGAGGGCCACCCCAGGTTGGCAAAGAGCCTCCCCAATGGCTGGAGGCCAGAGGCGCACTGGTTCAGGGTCGGAGCTCTCTGCCTGCAGCCTGCCTGATAGGTGACCCTGGTCCTCACCCAGCCTCCGTCCAGCCCACCCCCCGCTCCCAGTCCCCAGCTAACTGCAGTGGCTCCTGCCTCCTGCCTGGAAGTGAGGGTGCTCCCAGCCCAAGCTCCAGCTCCCTGGTTAGGTGTCAGCAGGGCCCCGGGGGTGAGATGTGTCTGGAAATGAGAGCGTGAGCCCAATTGGAGGAGGAGCATGTGTGCGCATGGAGGCCCGTGATGCCCGGTACCTTCACTGATGTCCAAGTCAGGGAGGCGAGGGGCGCTCTCCCGCTTGCCCAGGGTGGAAGGGGCTGGGTGGGGGAGGGCAAGCAGGGACAGGCGCCTGACGCTGGGGGTGTGGCAGAGTGGAGCTGGGGCCTCTGAGGAGCAAGAACAACGGGAGGGGCTCAGCCATGCTGGGGCCACCACGCCAGCTAGCCTTAGCCTAGACCCTCTGCTCCGACAGGCGGCTGGGCAGCCGGTCACGTGGCAGGGGGCCGGCTGGGGACTGTTGGCCCCAGCAAGAGAGGGGATGGTCTAGACTCTCCTTCCAGCTGCTAAGAAGATGGAAGGAGCCAAGGAGGCCAGGGTGATCCACCCCCTGGGGTGGCAAGAGGGGCCGCGCACAGGAGACCTTGCTTCCCTGGCTCCCCTGGGCCACCCCTCCAGCTTCTCCAGAAATGGCTCCCAGCTTTCTCCATTAAGGGACATCTGCCACACTGGGGCTAGGACCCCTCCTCGCAGACCCATCCCCTGCAGTTGAGACGGCACCATGATCTCCTACCAGCTGGACTTGGCCTCCCATCCCAGGGCCACCCCTTTCAAATGCTCCTTCCTTCCAGAGTTCTCGATGGACACTGGGACTGGATCACTCTTCACTGTGGGGCCATCCTGAGCATCATAAGGTTTTTAGCAGGTCTCTACCCACCAGATGCCAGTGGCACCCCCCCAGTAGTCTCCAACTGTCCTCTGGGGGGCATAATGGCCCTGGTTGACAACGGCCGCGACAGGACAGAGCCCCCCAGCTCTGATGGGCGCTGCTGCACTCACTCTGGGCGATGCCGGATGCCGTGTAGCTCTCTGCCATGCCTGACACCTGGCTGGCGATGCTGATCTCGCTGGCCCGGCGGAAACCTCGGGTGCTGGGGGCTGAGCCAGGTGAGGAGGGGGTGGCGTGCTCTTGGAAGACCGTGTTGTGGGCCTGGAGTGCCTCCGCTGCACGTGGACAGGGACCAGAGACCAGGGGTAAGGAGGCCTTGCCTAGCCCGGCCCCTGGGACCCCTGAGCAGGGGTGCCCAGTGTGTGCCAGGGCTGGGGTGGGCCAGAGAGGCGGCTGTGCCAGGCAAGGCCAACATCCCCCAGCTGCAGAGGAGTCGGGGGCATCTGAGCACAACTGGCAGACAGGACGGGCCCATGCGTGCCAGGGCCTGCTGCTCAGGGTCGAGAGGGCAGGGCTCAGAGCTGAGGCAGAGAGAAGGGAGGGCTAGGGCAGGGCTGCACAGACGGACCAATACAGACACAGTGGGCAGGGAGGCAAGGCGGCCAGGCTCACGCCCCACCCCGGCCACCCTTCCAGTCTCTAGGTTTGGTCTAGTCTTCTTGGCCTCTGGGGCCCAGTCTGGCCCGACCCACAGCCCATGGCAGCTGGGTTTGGTGGTGCTAGCGACAGAGGCCCGGGACAGCTTCCCAGGCATGTCCTAGGTGGAGGACTGAGCAAATGAGACAGCATCCTGCATGCCCCTCACACATGGGCCACACGAGCCAGCCCCGGGTGGGTATCTGGGGAAAAAGGAAGAGGGCTGAGGGCTCCAGCCAGGCCCACCTGGGCCCAGACTGAGGTCAGGCCAGAGGACCCACCTCTAGACAGGAGTAGGAGGTGCCTGGACCTCCTCAGGGAGGGAGGGAGTGAGGCATTGAGAATCCAACTCCATGCCAGGACGCAAGGCTTCTCCTGGGGGGCAGGTGGGTCCCAGAGGGCCCGAGGCCTCATCCCAACCCCTGGCTGCCCCACTGGTAGCCTCACAAGTGGGGAACAGAGCCTTTGAGCTGACACATGTGCTGGGTGACACCGGGACAGCTGCTCTCCTCTCTGGGTTCCTTCTTTGCTTTGAGTCCCCTCCCCGCTCTGCCCAGTGCCAAGACCGCTCCCAGGGACCTGTCCTGCCCGGTCTCAGCTCCTCGCCACAGTCCCCCAAACTCCGGGTGGCCGAGGAGTGGGTGGGGGGTCCCTGAGGACCAGCGGTCAGCCAGCGAAGCAGACGCCACCACGAGCAGGGGGGTTACACACACTCAGCGCAGCCCGGGCTTGGGCGGGGCCCGTCTTGCGAGGTGAGCGCGGGTACGGGGATACTGGTTTCCAGGAAGCCGTCCCCGGGAGGGAGAGGGGCCAGGGGGCCGCCCTCCAAGACCAGCTCGGGGTTTCTCTGCACGGTCTCGACTGGAGGCAGATGGGGAGAGAACAGAGGACAAGAACAGACACTCGTGTGGACGCTCCGACGGACACAGGGCTCCTCAAGGACCAAGACAGGACAGGACTGGGACACACGGGGGGCAGGAGAGACGGGCGTTCCCGGGGAGGGACGAAATGGACCACGGGCAGCCCTTGTTCACGCGCCCTGTCTCCAGGCCAAGTGACCCGGAAGCTCTGGGCCAATTGCCTGCTATGGAGGTCCTTCACAGGGCGGGACACAGGCCCAGACTCAGCCAGGGTCCCTTGGGTCCTCAGCCCTGCCTTGGTGGGGCAGCGGGAAGGGGAGCGGGGTCCCTGGCTCTGTGCTGTGTGTGGAGAGGTGGGAACGGGGAGGCCTGTGAAGGTGTCTTACTCCTTCATCCCTGGGGTGAGGCACCTCCGCCTACAACAGGTGTCCAGCTTCTAAAGGGTTCAGGGCAGGCCGCCCCTTCCCGCACGGCAGGGCCGCCCCCCCGGGTCCGGAGCACCCAAGGGGCCGGGTCAACTCCCACCCTTCCCCAGGGCCTGGGCCGGTAGAAGTGGGGCTCAGGTTCTCTCACCCAGCAGCGTGGAGCAGCCGTCCCCCAGCGGGTAGCGCTGGTAGCGGGGGATGCTGAAAGGCGGCAGGGCGTGGAATCGCCGCTCCAGCAGCGGCTCCAGGCGCGAGGCCGACGGGTCAGCGGGGTGGAAGAGGTTGTAGACTTGTTGGCAGGCGGGCCGCAGCTGGAAAACTGAGGGGGGCGGGGGGGGGGGCGGGGGGGGGGCGGGGAGTCGCAGAGGCTGGAGTTAGCTCCGCCCTAAGGAGGCGGGGCCTAGAGGCGGGGCCTAGAGCCGGCTAAGGTCCGGTGGGGTGGGATGGGATTGGGGTTTTAAAAGACAGAGAAACCCAAAAGTGTGTCTCCATAGATTTGGGGTTCTGTTTGGGCCACTGTCCCTTTATTAACCAAATTTGTTTTAATTGAGAAAATTATGATAGTCGTAAAAAAAATTTTTTTTTGGTGGTACAGGGATATATATATACGATATAAGACATAAGCTCCTCTCCACCCCAGAGCGCTAAGGTTAGAGCCCTACCTGCAAACAGTCGTAAAAAAAATTTTTTTTTGGTGGTACAGGGATATATATATATACGATATAAGACATAAGCTCCTCTCCACCCCAGAGCGCTAAGGTTAGAGCCCTACCTGCAAACCCTGGGGAGCCCCGAGCATGTGCGGCCGAGCAGGCTAGAGCCTGCCCATCCACTCTGAAAATGCTTCCAGGCTGTGAGCTTCCGAACATTTTGCAGTTGTTGGGAAGATGCCCTGGTGGTCTAGTGGTTAAGAATCTGCCTGCCGGTGCAGGGGACATAGGGTTTTTGAGCCCTCGTCTGGGAAGATCCCACATGCCACTGAGCAACTAAACCTGTGATTCCCAACTACTGAGCCCAAGGGCTGCAACTACTGAAACCCGAGCACCTAGAGCCCATGCTTTGCAACAAAAGCCTTCGCTTGCTGCAACTAGATAAAGTGCGTGTGCAGCAATGAAGACCCAACACAACCAAAAAAAAAAAACCTGCACACAAATAGGAATATAATCTACGCTTTTTGTACTTGACCTTTTTTCTTCATTTAACACAAAATGTTGGGAGTCTTTCATATGACTATTTTCATTGAGCCCCTTTCTTTTGAATTGCACTGGGGCATTCCTTTGTATGGCTGTGCCAAAGTTGATTTAACCACAGCCTGCATCCCATTTAGGTCATTTCAGGTTTTCCATGATTATAGATGGCGTTGCCCTGCCATCTATGTCTCCTGAATCTGTGCACTCATGTGGGTGCACAGTGTCTTGCCTTTGGGCAGGTGTCTACAACCTCTCTGAGCCTCAGTTTCCCCCTGGGGGCCCTGCACAGCTCTTGTAGGATGGGAGGGAGCCCACACTGGCTGATCCTGGGGGCACTGGGCAGGGACCGCTGCTCTGACGGCTTCTTAGCCGACACTTTTCCACCTCCCTCTGTGTGTTGTCTTGAGGAGGAACCTGGAACAGCATGGCTGCGGTCCCTCTGGGGCTGGGAGGCCACTGCATCAGGGAGCCTTCAGGGGTGCCTGGCTTCCTTATGGGAGACTGGGTCTGTCCTCATCTGATTCTGGGGCAGCTCCTTCCATCTCTGGACCTCAACTCCCAGAGGTGCCTTGGAGATGAAATGAAACAGTGTGTTGGGAAATGGGGTTGGAGACTGAGCTGGGTTGAGGCTGGAACAAAGGAGAGCCACGGGCCCTTGGTGAGTCAGGGGGTGCAGAAAGGAGGCTGATGCAGGAAGGGGCCTGGGATGTGGCCCTGGCCTTGTGACAGGGGTTCACTGAGATCCTCTGCTCAGCTCATGGGCCCCTCCCCTCCCCTGCAGGGACTCTCACCATCCAGGGAGGGGATGACCGTCTTCCTCAAGGCAAGGACCAGCCCCAGGGGGCACCCGAAGAGGAAGAGGTCAGCGACCTCAAAGTCGAACTTGCCCACGGCCCCTGCGCCATCCAGCATGGTGGAGCTGCTCGAGCGGCGGGAGCTGGGCTCGTTCCTCAGCACACTGGCGTGGAGGCTGCAGGTACGTGGTGGGGTGGGGAGATGCGCGAGATCACACCACGGCCCCCCTCCGGGCCGGCCCGCCCTCGGCTTCCTGAAAGAGGCTCCTCGGGGGTCCCCAGCAAAGCTTGGGCCCTGTGCAGTCCTGCGGGTGCAGCTGTCCAGCACCTGCTGGGACACCTCTGGGGACAGCAGGGCCTGACCTCTCCAGGGAGCCCACTGCCTTTGGGACAGCCCTGGCTGGGACCGTGCTGTCCACGGTCAGTCTGCTGGCTGACTCTGCCAATCCCGGCTTCTTCCCCTGCCTCAGTCTGTCTGTTCCCTCTGACTCAAGAGGGCCCTAGTCGTGTAAAAGGCCACGGTTGCTTGGGTCATTTGAAGAGACATGGATGGACCCAGAGACTATCATACAGAGTGATGTAAGTCAGAGAAACAAATATCATGTATCAAGGCATATATGTTGAATCTAGAAAAATGGTACAGATGAACTTGTTTGCAAAGCAGAAGTAGACACAGAGACGTAGAGAACAAACATATAGATACCAAGGTGGGAAAGAGGAGGTGGAATGAATAGAGAGATTGGGATTGACATATATACACTATCAATACTATACATAAAACAGACAGGGCTTCCCTGGTGGCTCAGATGGTAAAGAATCTGCCTGCAATGTGGGCGACCCAAGTTGGATCCCTGGGTCGGGAAGATCCCCTGGAGGAGGGAAAGGCAACCCACTCCAGTATTCTTGCCTGGAGAATTCCATGGACAGAGGAGCTTTGTGGGCTACAGTCCATGGGGTCAAAAAGAGTCGAACATGACTGGGTGACTAACACTTTCACTTACTTTTTTTCATAAAATAGATAACCATAAAATAGATAATGAAAACCTGCTGGATGGCACAGGGAACTCTACTCAGTGCTCTGTGGTGACTAAATGGGACGGAAATCCAAAAAAGAGGGGATATATGTATACGTATAGCTGATTCACTTGGCCGTATATCAGAAACACAACACTGTAAAGCAACTGTATCCCAATTAAAAATATATATATATATGTGACTTCGCTGGTAGCTCAGCTGGTAAAGAATCCTCCTGCAATGCAGGAGACCCTGGTTCAATTTCTGGGTGGGGAAGATCCCCTGGAAAAGGGATGGGCTACCCACTCTAGTATTCTTGGGCTTCCCTCGTGGCTCAGATGGTAAAGAATCCGCCTGCAATGCGGGAGACCTAGGTTTGATCCCTGTGTTGGGAAGATCCCCTGGAGGAGGGCATGGCTACCCACTCTAGTATTCTTGCCTGGAGAATCCCATGGCCAGAGGACCCTGGCAGGCTACAGTCCATGGGGTTGCAAAGAGTCCGACATGACTGAGCGACTAAGCACAGAATAGCACGGCATGACCATAAAAAAAAGCCCACAGTTGCACCCCACACCTTCTCTTGGCTGAAGAACCATGGGCGTGGCCTGGGGATCCCAGGACCGAGGTCGGGGGCCTTCAGGACTCTCACATGGACCATCAGCACCAGCTTAGAGTCCCCCCACCTTAGAGTCCCCATCCTCACCCAGCGGGGGCCTCCCCACCCACCTGGACAGGAAGGCCTGGTGCTGCTGGATGGTGTCCAGCTCATAAGTGGACGAGTCACTCCTCTTGCGGGGTAGCTGCCGTTTGGGGTCTTCAGCGCCGTTGCTCCGGGGGATGTCGATGTTGCTGCGGCTCAGGTGCCGGCTGCTCTCCAGGTTGCTGCCATGTGCTGCGTTGACCGTTGAGCCCGGGGACAGCAGGTCAGCATCCTGGAATGGCCCCACGCAGGTTCACGGCCCAGTGGCCACTGACCTGGCCCCCTCTTCAGTGTCGTGGGAGCCGAGTCTCCCCTCCTGACCCTAGGCCTGCGGCAGCTTCTCACCCAAGCCAGGGAGGGAAAGGCCCAGTCCCTGTGTGCCCTGTGGTGGCCCCTGCCTTCACTCCTGGCCCAGCCCGCCCATCTGGGCCTTGCTGAATTCCCACTGATCCTGCCGCCTCGCCCAGCCCACTAGGCTGCTTGCTACTCTGTAGTGGAGGGACCTTGGGTCCTCTCTCCTGCCGGGAGGCTCAGAGGATCCAGGCCTCCATGGTGACAGATCTGCTCTCCACGGTGCAGACTCGGCTTCACTGCCTGCTGAAGCCGCTTGCGCTCCTGTCTGGCCTCGCTGCAGCTGTTCACCTGTGCAATGCATCTGTCCCCCACCTCTGGGCACCTGCATTGGCAACCCCAGCCCTTCCTTTTTTTTTTTTTCCAGCCCTTCCTTTTTTTTTTTTCCAGCCCTTCCTTTTTACCGCAGGCCTCTGGGATGTTTGGAGCCAGAGGGTGGCACAGTCTCCATCCTGAAGGTCCCCTGCTCTGGAGGCTGGAGGGAGCGCGTACCTGCACGCTGGCCACACTGCCCCGGCGGCTGCTGCTCTGACTCTCAGACACTGGCTGGTTGCTGCAGCATAAGGCATCGAATGCCAGGATGCCCCCGACGCAGTCCCCGATCAGGCAGACCTGGGTGGGGAGAGGTCCAGGGCCCTGAGCATCTGCCCCGCTTGCTGGGGTGCTGGCTGGGGAGAGCCCTGGGCCGTAGGACCAGGCCAGTCCACCCTGCAGGGGTTTCTGTCTCCCCTTCCCCCACCCCACAACTCACCTGCCCGTTGAAGGTCACGCCCTCCTGGGACTTGATGAAGTCCCCATAGGCGAGGTTGGCCCGCTGAATCACTGTGGCAACGGCCTCCTGGTACTGGGGCGAGGAGGTTGCCAGCAGGGGCAGGGCAGCCAAGGGGATGTGGTCCTGGCTGCTGGATAGACAGCCTTCATCATGGCTGTAGGGGCTGAGGCTGGGGGAAGGGAACCCGTCAGGAGAGAGCAGATGGCCTCAGCTCAGCCCAGGGGGCCCCTCTCCCCTGACCCGAGCATCAGAGCTGGAGCTGCCTGACACCCTGAGAGCCTCAGCCCTGACTCAGCAAATCACGTGGGGATGCTTCCAGGCCAGGCATGGGGAACAGGGCTGGGGACTAAGGCCAGTATCTCAGAGGCAGGGAAGCATTCTCATATCACAGAGGTGGAGACTGAGGCTCAGCTTTGGGCCCCAAACTCTACCCTCCCTGTATCCTCCCCGGTGGCTCAGATGGTAAAGAATCTGCCTGCAGTGCAGGAGACCCGGGTTTAATCCCTGGGTTGGGAAGATTCCCCTGGAGAAGGGAACAGCTACCCACTCCAGTATTCTTGCCTGGAGAATTCCATGGACAAGGAGCTTGGCGGGCTACAGTCCACGGGGTCACAAAGAGTTGGACATGACTGAGCAACTAACATACTCTAGATTCAGCCATCTGCATGGGTTTTGCTGCCTCCCAGCAGAACAAGTTAGACGCTGGTTTGGATGACAGAACCATGGTCCCAATATTAGGTAGGGAGGTCTCTGACCCTTGGGGCCAGGGGAGGAGCAGAGCCTACACACTCACTCGGAGACGAGGGCGAAGGCATCGGAGCAGATGGGCGGGCAGGGCACCAGGCGGATGGCGAGGTGGCCAAGGGCGCTGGGGTAGTGCACGCGCATGACAGTGTCGAACACGGTGGCAATGGTGTTGGCATCTCCCTGTTTGGAGCTGGGGTCCCCGGCGCCCGTGTCCAGGATGGTGCCTCCGTGCAGCAGCAGCAGCAACACGTGGATTTTCGAGGGCGGTGCGGCCAGCGGAGGGCTGACCTCGTCCTGTGTGGGTGGGGGTGTTGGTGGGGGTCAACTCCCTGGGAACTCAGCTCTGTGCCCAGGCCGAGGCTTCTGTCGCGTTGGGGAGAGGCCTGTTGAGGCCCAATCACACCCTCTGAGAACCCTGATCTCAGTTCCTCTGCACCGGGGCCTGGTGCCCGATGCCTCAAGACCTTCCCCTGGGGGCGCCCAGCTGCTCCTCCCTGTCCGTCCTCTCTGCCTGAAGCCCAGCTCCTGGCCACGGACCGGACCAGAGCACAGAGGACATGGAGAGAGGGGTCTATTCCTTCCAAAGCACAAACTCCACTTCCCATCAAGGGGGCCAAGACAGGGCTTTCTGGGCCTTCTGGCCTTGGGGAGGAGGCAGAGGCTTGGCCCAGGGTGGGCCTTTGGGGTCAACCTGCCCTCGTGTGTCTGTCCAGGCATTGGACTGTTACCAGCTCACCAAGAGGGGCTGGGGTCAGGGACTCAGCCTGGCTGCTCTGCCCACAGCACTGAGCTCTCACTCTATCTACATGTGCTGTCCCTGGACTATGGCCTCCATGCCCTGCCATTCCCATACTCTAAGACCAAGGTCCTCAAGAGCAGAGATGTCCCAGCAGAGGTAGAGCCCCAGCACCTTAGAACAGAGAAGGCAATGCAGGTATCTCTATCTGAAACCCCCCCCACCATTTGTGAAGGGTCATGCCCCCACCTCTGGCTGCTCAGCCCTGCTTTGTGAGGTCCAAGTGAGACTTGCATATATCCAACTGTTCCATTTAGAGACGAGGTGGCCCAGAGAGGCCAAGGGACTTATCTAAGGTCACACAGCATGTCAGTCCCAAGCTGGACTGGAACCCAGAGCTCCCACCACCAGCTCAGTGCTCTTCCCCTACCCCAGGCTGTAATCCCAGTCTCAGGGGCCTCTCCCTGCCCTCAGCTCCTGGTGTGTGACTGCAGGAGGCCAGGGCCCAAGAGGAGCCACTGCTGAGTACTTGCCAGGCCCATATGATGTCAGCGAGTATGGGGGTTGGGGAAGGGAGCTGAAGAGAGGGGCCTCTCCCTAAGGAACTAGCAAGACAGAATAAGGGGCTGAAGCCATCTGGAGAGCCCTTGGGGGTCAGCTGGCCCTGAACTGGGCCATCAGCTGGCAGGAGTGGGCAGCAGCAGGACCCAAGTGTCAATGCAGAGCCCAGGAGAGGGGTGGGCAGCGCGGGGCACAGCCCAGCGACCAGTGAGGCCATAGGAACAGATCGGGCTAAACTGGGAGCCTTTGAGCAGCAGAGGGCTTTGGGTGAGAGGAAGGCTGATGGGCAGGCGGTCCTGGGCCCGGAGTGGAAATAAGACTGGGTTGCGTCAATCCCCAGGAGGGGGCTGGTGATCGGCCAGTCAAGGGCCTTGGGGTCTGGGCAGGAATGCACGCCCAGCAGAGCTTGGGTCCAACTCCCGTCTCTTCCAAGGGCTGCACACAGCTGGCGGGCCTGGGAGGGAATGAACTCATGGCCTGAGGCATGGTGGGGTCATTGGCTGCCCGATGGTCTCAAGGATTAATCAATATGGTCAGGCGAGGGGCTCGTGGAAGGAATGTATTTAAGCAGCCTCCTGGTCACCCAGATACGCCCCTAGTCACCTGGGATGGGCAGGGATGGGCAGTGGGGGGAGCCTGCCTGGGTCTGGCTGCCAGGACCCAGCACTGGAGGCTGGGACTCTGGCAGAGACCTGGGAGGCCAGCCCGAGACACAGCTTTCCTCCTGTGCAAACTGCTTTCTACCAGGGCATGCCCTGCCTGAGACTCAAACCCTAGTGGGAACAGAGCCCTCGGAAGGCAGGGCCCGGGAACCAGCTCTGGGGAGCCAGGGGGGCCCCATCAGTCACTCCGTAAAGCCGTCCTCTTTCCCTGAGGTTGGGAGAGGAGCTCCAGTTTGGGGGCTGTTGCAAGCAAAGGGATCTGACTCAGGATGGCGGTACTCCAGAACCAGTGCTGGGCCCAAATTCGCATCCACAGGCAGATCCAGAGCCCGAGGCCCCTTCTGCCCCTCCCGGGTGGGGGTGGGGGACGGCTGTCAGAGCTGTGTGCACCGAAGGGGAGGAGGGGGCTCACTTTGCTTCATCGTCATTAACTGGCAACTGGAAATCAACTCCCCTCGTCCCAGTTATCCTTCTAGAAAAGGCTGCTTCAACCTTAGACCTCAAAGAGAACCCCGAGAGGAGAGGGCAGTGTGGATGCCCCCCCCTCACCACAACCCCTAGTCCAAACTCCCCAGAGGTCCTGAGTCCTCAGGGGTACCATCTCCACCTTGGGCAGCTAGAGGCCAGGGCAGCGTGGTGACTCCACTCCGCCCTGGCTCCTGCCCCAACGCAAACAGCTCTGACCGCCCACAGGTGGAGGAGCAGAAGGGGCGTGAGCTCCGTGCAAAGAACCCCCAAAGTGGACACAGGCGCTCTACCAAGACAGCTTTATTGCACATTGAGAGCAGGGCGGCCACGGCCTGCCACGTCACTTCTGCCCGGGTGACTCTCGTTTCCTCCCCTTCCATCTTTTTTTCTTCAGGGACTTCAGACAGGTTGAGCACAAGGTGAAGATCTTATTTTTGATCTGGAATTTACAAGTTTCTCATTTTACTCTCCAGGGTTGGAGCAGGGGCAAGGCCTTTCTTGGGGGAGCTGTCCTACTGGAGCAGACCCTCTGGTTGTCAGGGACCTCAGAGGGGGTGGGTCCCAGGCCTCTCTCCAGTGGTGCCCAGGCCAGCGTGGACGTGAGGCTGTGGGTGCCAAGTTCTGCCTCCGTTGCCCCCTGGGGACCCATCCCTGGCGCCCTATCCCCTGCCCCCCGTGGCCTTGGCCCTCTGCCACCTCGGCACTCACCTCGATGATGTTCAGCTGCTCCACGCTGGAGGCCACCCTGAACTCAGGGGCGCTCTGGCGGTACAGACCATCTGCAACACAGAAGAGGTGGGTGCTGTGAATAGGCAACACCAGACAGAGGTCGTGACCATGACCTGCAGGGCCTCCCAGCCCTCCTGGGTGGCTGGGTGCTCCTTCTCGGGGACGAGGGGCTTGGCCCGCTTAGCCGCCCTCCCCGGGCCCTGCCATCCCCAGCTGGTTACCCTGTGAGTCCTCTGGCTCAGGGCTTTCGATTTTGTCCATGAGATCGTTGGAGTTCCACTTGGTGATGTCCTTGGGGAACATTTCTTCTGAGTCAGACAGGTCCTCTGGGAAGGAAAGAGAGGGGCTTCAGAACCTCGATCAAGGGTGGGGACCTTGGGGGGTCGGTCACTGGGAGGCCCGGCTTCCAGTGGTGGAGGGCCTAAGAGTGGCCGGTCTGGGGGCTCCCATGCTTCTCTGGCCCGTGTGCCCCTCCCCACTCGGTTCTGTGGTCTCGCTTCCTTAACAGGATAGACACATGGCCACCTTCTCACAGGACTTCTGCCTGATGTTTTTGGTTTATTATTATTATTATTTTTGGCTGTGCTTGGTCTTTGGTGCTACATGTGGACTTTCTCTAGTCGTGGAGAGCAGGGGCTAACTCTCTAGTTTCGGTGCGCTGGCTTCTCATTGCGGTCTGCTTGATTTTTTTAAAAAAAATGTGGTAACATTCACTGAACATAAAACTCACTATTTTGACCATTTTCAAGTAGCACTTAGTCCATTCAGAATGCTGTGCAACCACTAGCTCTATCTGGCCCCAGAACTCCTCCATCTCCCCACACGGAGACCTGTCCCCATCAGCAGGCATGCCCCAGCCGCCCTCTCCCAGCCCCTGGCAACCGCCGGTGGACTTTCTGTCCTTATGGATTTGCCTGTTCTGGACAGTTTCCACACATGGTACGTACAGCATGTGGTCTTTTGGGTCTGGCTTCTTCCACTTCACATGGTGGGATTTTTGTTTTTTCAGTTCAGTTCAGTTCAGTCCCTCAGTCGTGTCCGACTCTTTGCGACCCCATGGACTGTAGCACGCCAGGCCTCCCTGTCCATCACCAACTCCTGGAGCTTACTCAAACTCATGTCCATTGAGTCAGTAATGCCATCCAACCATCTCATCCTCTGTCGTCCCCTTCTCCTCCCACCTTCAATCTTTCCCAGCATCAAGGTCTTTTCAAATGAGTCAGTTCTTCGCATCAGTGGCCAAAGTATTGGAGTTTCAGTCAGCATCAGTCCTTCCAATGAATACTCAGAATTGATCTCCTTTAGGATGGACTGGTTGGATCTCCTTGCTGTCCAAGGAACTCCCAAGAGTCTTCTCCAATATGGTGTTTGTGGGTTTTTTTTTAGTATTTATTTATTTGGCTGTTCCGGATCTTAGTTGCCGCCCATGGGATCTTTAGTGGCAGCATGTGAACTCTTAGTTGCAGCATGTGGGATCTAGTTCCCTGACCAGGGATCAAATCTGGGTCTTCTGCATTGGGAGCTAGAAGTCTTAGCCTCTGGGCTATCAGAGAAGTCCCCACATGGTGTTTTTAAGATTCAACCACGTGTCAGTGCTTCATCCCTTTTCATGACTGAGTCATAGTCCATCATATAGATGGACTTCAGTTTGTTTCTCCATAATGTTCCTAACTGTTTTCAATGTCCACAAGATAACAGCTTAGTGAGAAGTGCTGCTGTGAACAATTCCACTCATGAGTCTTGGGTCTGCTTTCCTGAGAACTCATCCCCGTGGCCCCTGGGCAGGAAGCGGTTGTAGGAACCCTGGCATGGACGTGCTGGCCCCTCCTCCCTGGGTCACTGGGATGGTTTCCTCAGGACGCTCCAGCAGTAACATCTCCTGCTCTGCTGTCTTTCCTCCTTTCCAGCTTTTTCTAAAACTCTTCCTGTGTCTTTCCCTCATGTCAGGGACACAGAGCCAGGAAGGGCTTAGCCTTTGGGCCTGGCTGAAGGGGAGGGTGGGAGTGTGGGATGCCCCACACCCACTCCCTACTCTCGGGAGGCCCCAGTGGAGAGGCCAGCTCGGGGACCACCTGCCTTCTGTACCAAGTCCCCCCCGCCCTGCCCAGGCCAGACCTGCCTCTGCCCTGCTGCAGGCCCGTGGGCAAGTCCCTGTCCCTCTCTGAGCCCATGACCTGCCTTGTGAACTGCAAGCCCATCTCCCTGAACCTGCCTGCCAGCCCCTCTTACTTCCTTGAGAGGAACAACCAAGGTATGAAGGAAGGATGTTTAGGCCGTGCATCTTCCCAGCACAGGTGGGTGATTCATCTAGCTGTTTTCTTGCTGTGCTTATTCTGAGATTCGTGGGAAAATGGGCACTTTACATATTTTTTGCTTGTTCGCATTTTCTAAAGTTTCTGAATTACATGTGTGTTAATTTAATCATGAAAAGACAGTAATTACAAAAAATTAGAAAACCAGAAGTTATGCTTTTGTAAAGCCTCTGAGGGAAATTTTTTTTTTTTTTTTGGTCGTGCCACACAGCTTGCTGGATCTTGGTTCCCTGACCAGGGATTGAACCCACGCCCTCAGCGATGAAAGCACCAAGTTCTAACCACTGGACTGCCAGGGAATTCCCTTAGGGAATTAAATTCAACAGAGGATGAGATGGTTGGATGGCATCACTGATGGACACAAGTCTGAGCAACTCCGGGAGACGGTGAAGGACTGGGAAGCCTGGGGTGCTGAGTCATGGGGCGGCAGAGTCAAACACGACTGACAGACTGAACAAAAACATGGAAAAAGTGTCCTTGTCTGACTGTAAATTCATTTTGGGGGGTTTGAGAGAAGAGTCCCTACCTGCCAGATCCAGGGTACATCCTGATATCAGGGTTAGGGTGAGTATGAGAGCCCAGAGTCCCGGTGACCTCATCTCATCCTGCCCCCGCCCCCGATGCCCTGCTGTTCACCCAGAACTTTCCATGGGTAATTCCCATTGTGACTTGCATCCCCACCAACCCTTTCAGATCCCACCCTTTCCTCTCCTAGGAAGGCCTGTGTGCTCCAGGGTGCCCGCATACCATGAGCATCGAAGAACTCATCATCCGAGCTTTCGTCTGAGTCCCGGGCAATACTCTGCATCCTCCACTCCGAGATGCTGTGGCGGGAAGGACTCGCTGGAAGGCAAAACCACAGACCGACTGAGCACCCGGCTGCACTGGGATAAGCAGGCAGAAGCAGGCAGGTGTGATGACGCTGGAGCAGGGCCAGGAGGGCTCAGAGGGGATGGAGAGAGGGCAGGGTGGCCCTGGCTCACCTCCCAGCCCACCCGGCACAACGCAGTCTTATCCTGTGTGGACATGGAGTGGGGAGGGTATCAGGTGTGAGGCCAGGATGTGCAGTCAGCCGGGCTGGGGTCTACTCATGTGCCCCTGACCTGGTTGGCCCAGAAGCATGGCGGGGCCGATAGGCAGGGAGGCTGGGCACTGGTGGGGAGTGAGATTAAATGTGTGGTTCAAGTGTTTCCCTGGATCCCTTCAGCACAGGACAGACAAGCCTGGTGTCGGAAAAGCTGGATTTGCAGGCATAGAGGGGGACTTCTGGTATTTTACACAAAATACCCTGAGTTGTCCCACTAGCCACTGCACTTTCACATCAGTTTCAGAGAAAGGATTTTCTCAGTATCTGAAGGCTTTCAAGGTCCTTTGGCAGAAGTCCCTCCTGGGTATGCTGGGTGTAGCCCCACCCAGACCACTCCTCTGTGCCTTGGAAGCCTGGCTCCTCAGAGCTGCAGCCGGCGGGTCCCAGGAGGGGCTGGGAGCGGGGTTCCCGTGTGGCCAGCCTGCCTGTCTGCCCAGGGTTGTGTGGGTGAGTCTGGGGGAAACTGCCAGGGTTGGGGGTCGCCCTGGGCTTCACTCTGCAGCAGAGGCTACGAAGAGGTGACTGGTTCTCCCTACCAGTGTGGCCCTTGGATCTGAAAGCAGACCACCTTCAGTGTTAGAACGCCCCGCAGCCACCCTGGGATGGACTGCCCTGAGGGGTGGTCACTGGTGTGGACGAGTAGAGGGCAGGGGTCCCCCCACCGTGGTCACAGGGTGCTCACCTCCCCGCTTGGATGACCGAGATGACTTGGAGGATGTGGACCACTGCTTTTTCAGACCCCTGCCTGCCAGGGGCTCCCCACTGCTGCTGCTGGGCTGGGAGGGCTCCCCGGAGGCCTGGTCCTGGGCAGCCTCATCCTTGGCCAGTTCCGCGGCCCCTTTGTCCTCCTCGTTGAACTGGGCCATTTTGCGGGACAGCATGAGCTGTGCCTCCTTTTCCAGCTCCCGGATGTTGTCCATGTTCAGCCCGTACCATTCGTCCTGCCAGCACCAGGCCTGCCGGTGGGCCCTCACCATCACCTTCCGCAGGCCTAGGGGCGGGGATGCAGGGAAGACAAAGAGAGAGGCCTGTGTCAGGGCACCCCAGGAACCCCTTGGCTGGGAAGCACCCTAGGCTGCAGGTCAGGCTCTGCTGCACACCCACTGCTTGGCCTCCAGCAAACCACTGTCTCTCCAACTCCCAGGTTCATTTCCCCATGTGCAAATGAGGGATCCAGCTTACAGACAGCCTCCCAAGCTCATAGTGGCTCTGTAACTAGGGCAGGGGGCTCTCCTCCCTCAAGGGGAGCTGGAGGAGAACTCCCTGAGTGTTTCCTATCTGGTCTAGTATGACTCTCTTAAATTCCCCACAGAAAAATCAAGCGCAACTTTGAAGCAGGTTGGTCCTTTCTTTTTTTGAAATTCATTTTTAATTTTTTTTTTTAATTAAAAAAACTTTTGGTCACGTCATGTGGCATGTGGGATCTCAGTTCCCCGACCAGGGATGGAACCCCCGTCCCCTGTATTGGAAGCACAGAGTGTTAATCAATGGGCCACCAGGGAAATCCCGGTCCTTTCTTTTTAAAATAAATATATGTGCATATAAAACATGATAGGGATTTCCCTGGTGGCCCAGTGGCTTAAACTGAGCTCCTAATGCAAGGGGTCCAGGTTCAATCCCTGATTAGGGAACTAGATCCCACATACTGAAACTAAGAGATTGAATGCTGTGACTAAATGATCCCACGTGCCACAAGGAAGACTGAAGTTTCCATGTGCTGCAACTACAACCCAGCACAGCCACATAAACAAATATAAAATAAAACAGGATAAAGACATACAGGAATATCTTGTACAAAGAAGACAGAAAATAAGATACTTTAAAGGTATAAACAGAAGAACCATGAGCACAGGGAGCAGATGGGGGCTGCCCTGGGTGAGGATGAGAGTGGGGGTGATTGGGAAAGACTCTGGGGGGTGGAATGTTCTAGAACTATGTGCACTACTCTGCAAACACACTCAAACTTACGGAACTCAAACTTCTCTTACAACAAATGCAAAATTTGGTCTCAATAAGCTGCTTAGAAAAACATTAAGAGGAAATAAATCGCCTTGGCTCCAGGTTGCAGAAGTGACCAGCAACACAGACCCCACCATCACCCTCCCGCCCTCCGCCCCGTAAAGGTCCATCCTGAGTTCTGTGTTTATCATTTGCTCTTCTTTCCATGTTTTTCTATACAATATGTTGGGTTGGTCTACATGTTGTTGACATTTACATGTATGTTTCACGCTGCATGTATTCTTCTGCCACTTGCTTTTCTGGGTGAGTTTCTGGTTTGTTGCTGTATGGTCGGTTTTTATTTGTTTGAAATACCACATTCTATTTATTCCTTCTCCTGCCAATGGGCCTTTGGCTCACTTTCACTGTTTGTCCGTTTTGCTTTTACAAACCTGCTGCTCTGAACATTTTAGAACGGGCATTTGAGTTTCTCCCAGGGGGTGGGGCAGACCCAGGAGGGTCATCCCTGGATCCTCCGCCCGATTTCCTACAGAAAACTGAGAGGCTTCCCAGGTAGCCCAGCCCTTGCTTGTACCCAGGGTGGTCTCCAGCGACCCTTGCTCCTGATTCCCCGCTCCTGGACTCGCTCAGGCCGCTCTGTCTTCCCTGCTGTCCTTTCTAAATCCCTTTATCCCAAAGGTCTGCCTAGAAGGAACTCCCTCTCACCCTCTGTTCCTGGGAGGGTACTACCAAGCCCCTGGCTACGGCCTCAGGCACGCCACCCTCAGGGCCAGCCAGCACTCATGGTGGACAGACCGTCTGATGACACGTTATGTCTGGACAAGGACAGATGGGCCAGAAGATCTGGGGTCACACCCAGCGCTGGCCCTCTGCTTCCTCCTCTGCAATTAAGGGGGAAGCAGGGAGTGACAGTGGCCACCCTCCCAGGCCAGGGAGAGCTGATGTGACCCTCGCGAAGTGTTATCAGCTGTGCTGTGACTCTGCTCAGGGCTACACAGTCACCCTTGCTCTGGGAGTCAATGGGTGTCTGCCCGGGTGTTCCTCCTGGATCATGGGCCTCGGGGCTAAGACCAGGCCCTGGGCACTGACCCCTACCCTGACCTGGGGGACATGGAAGGAGCTGAGGTAGCTCTAGGGCAGGGAGGACCCTGGGTCAGCTGTAGCTGTGCCAGGAACCCCCGGTCGTCTGCTGGTCCTCTGTTCCCTGGGCACCTGCTCCGGGCCAGGCCAGCATGGGTGTGAGGACCGGAGGATGGCCAAGCCGCTGTCCCCTGGGACTTCCAGCCCAAAACAGGAGGCAGCAGTGGTGCAGGGCCTGGGGTCTGGCGCCAGGGGGCCGAGAGGCGCCAGGAACAGCGGGAGGGAGGCGTTACACCCCATGGGGGTGGGCTCCGCATGTTAGAAACTCCAGCCGGTCCAGAGTGTCTGGGGCAGGACACACACTGCCTGTCTTCAGTAGGGGCTCAACAAGTGTTTGTGTGGTCAAGTAAACCATGTGGGGCTCTGCACATGGGCCCTGGGGTCACCTGTCCAGAGTGACAGAAACTTGGAGTCTCAGGCAGACGCGGGGGGCGGGGTAGGGGCGGCAGGCAGATGGCGGGACACAGAGGGAGAGGCGGGCGCCCTCACCCGTGTCGTGGATGAACCGCTCGATCTTGGACTGCATGCCCCAGTAGCGGAACTCCACCTTGCAGAGCTTGTAGGCGCACATGATGGGGAACACCTGCTGCTTGTACTCCTCGATCCAGTTCTCCGACAGGGGCCCCCGCTGGGTCTTGGTCGAGTGGAACAGCTTGGGGTCCTCTTCCGTCTTATACTCGTTGGGGGGCACAGGGTCCTTGACAATGTCAATGAAATCTACGAGGAGACCCCGTGAGTGACCACTTCGGCCCCAACCTCCACCCCACCCCTCCCTCTCCAGTCTCCTCCCCCATGTCCCTGCCATCCCCGAATCTCGGCAGGACCCCAGGCTTGGATGTGTCCCAGGGCCCCACATGGGAGTGGAGATGCTGCTCTGAGCCGCTCTGATCCCCAAGCTCCCCCAACCTCAGGACCTGCGTCTTTCCTTGTTGCCTTTTCAAATCATTTCAGCAAAAGCCCTGCTTTGTGCATACTTGCCAAAGCGCATAAATCAGGTGATGAGTTGGAGGAGCATGCGGGGAGATGAAGTTCCGTGCGAGGATGTGGGAAGGGGTGGGGGCGAGCAGAAGAGGAAAAGCTGGCATTTCAGCCACAGGAGCAGAAGAACTGTGAGGCGGAGAACGTCCCGGAGTGTGACACTTGACCCAGAAGTGGGGCAGTTTGGGGAACCGCCAGGGTGTCTGCGTGATGAGAGGTGATGGGGATGCAGCTGGACTCATCAGCCATCTCTCGCCAGGCACCCAGAAGGGGAGTGGTGCTACAAATGGGTTTGAAGGTGGCTGGTCTGCTCGGAAGCCCCTCCCAGACAGACCAGCAGGGAGGAGTCCAGAAACCACGTTTGAAGGGCCCAGAGGGAGGCGTCGGGCATGAGCAGGTCCAGGATGTGCTGGGCTCTGGGGAAACAGGACTGGGGGCTGGTAGGACCTGATTCGGGGAAGGGGGGTGACAGTGACTCTGGGAAGGATGACCTCTTGTCACATGTCTCCTCCTCCAAGTCAAAACCATCTCGCTGGGCTGGCTCCCGTGGTATGCGTGTCAGACGGGGCTGTGTGCACACTTGGTGAGGAGAAACTTAGGACAGGGCTTGTAGCTCAGAAAGCCTTCTTTCAGAGGTGTGGGGACAATGGCACGTGGTGGAGCTCCGCTGGGCCTGGGCCCTGGCTGTCTCATCTTCCTGGCACCGGGTCTGGGCTGTGGTTTACAGGGGAAGACATCAGCCCCACTGGAACAGGCAAGGGGTCAGGGCAGCCCGAGGGCAGCAGAGTGTGGAGGGGGGATTTACATCCTTCCCGGAGTAGACCACATGGCCGGCCCGCTGGGGCAGGCAATGGCCACCAAGGGGAGGGCTGGGACGTGAACCATGACGGGAGGCCTCCGGGGGGAGCCTGCAGCTGGCCAGACAAGAGCTGTCAGATGGCCTGGGCCCTTCCTTCCTGTTATGGGTAGAGTGAGTCCCCTGGCAAACGCATACGTCGGCCTCAGAATGTGACCTTATTTGGAGACAGGGTCTTGAAAGAAGTCATCAAAAGGAGGGCCCCCTCATAATCTAACCAGCATGGTTACACAAAGGAGAAAGTAGTAAAAGTTTTAGTTCCTCAGCATGGTTGGACGCTTTGTGACCCCATGGACTGTAGCCTGCCAGGCTCCTCTGTCCATGGATTCTCCAGGCAAAAACACTCCAAAAATGGAGTGGGTAGCCATTCCCTTTTCCAAGGGATCTTCCTGATCCAGGGATTGAACCTGGGTCTCCCACATTGCAACAAAGGAGAGATTTGGCTCAATTTAAAAAAAAAAAAACACCTGAAACTAACACAATATTTTAAATCAAGTATACTTCAATTAAAAAAAAAAGGAGAAATGTGAATATAGACATGAGCACGGACAGAACACCATGTAAAGATGAAGGCAGAGATTGGGGTGGAGTGTCTACAGGCCAAAGAACACCAAAGTCTGCCAGCAGCCACAGGAAGCTAGGGGAGCTCCCCTGGAGGCCCAGCAGTTAAGAAATCCACCTTCCAATGCAGGGGACATGGGTTTGATCCCTGGTCAGGGAACTAAGATGCCACGTGGTTACTGAGCCCCCTCGCTCTGGAGCCCATGTGCTGCAACTAGAGAAACCATGCATCGCAACAAAAGATCCTGCATGCTGCAACTAAGACGTGATGCAGTCAAATAAATAAATATTTAAAATTTAAAAAAAAAGCAAAGGGAAAGACCCCAAACAGATTCTCCCTCAGGGACTCCAGAAGCAGCCAACCGTGCCGACACCTTGACCTTGACTCTGACCTCCAAAATCGTGAGACACTTACTACCAACCTAGATAGCATATTAAAAAGCAGAGACATTACTTTGCTAACAAAGGTCCGTCTAGTCAAGGCTATGGTTTTTCCAGTGGTCATATATGGATGTGAGAGTTGGACTGTGAAGAAAGCTGAGTGCCGAAGAATTGATGCTTTTGAACTGTGGTGCTGGAGAAGACTCTTGAGAGTCCCTTGGACTGCAAGGAGATCCAACCAGTCCATCCTAAAGGAGATCAGTCCTGGGTGTTCATTGGAAGGACTGATGCTAAAGCTGAGACTCCAATACTTTGGCCACCTCATGAGAAGAGTTGACTCATTGGAAAAGACTCTGATGCTGGGAGGGATTGGGGGCAGGAGGAGAAGGGGACGACAGAGGATGAGATGGCTGGATGGCATCACCAACTCGATGGACATAAGTTTGAGTTAACTCCGGGAGTTGGTGATGGACAGGGAAGCCTGGTGTGCTGCGATTCATGGGGTCGCAAAGAGTTGGACATGACTGAGCGACTGAACTGAACTGAACTGAAGCATCTGTTTCCTTAAGCCCTTAGGTCTGTGGTACCCTGTTTTGATGGTCCTAGCAAGCTGATGTATCTCCCAAACCCCAGTGGGGCCTAAAAACTTGGGCAGGAGGGAGGAGTCCCAAGGAAAAGCCATCCTGCCATCCGAGGCTGGCTGAGGGTCATCACCACCCCTCCAACACCCATCTGAGACCCACAACGGTTCATTCCCAGGGGCCTGGGGGCTGTCAGCTGGTCCACTGATGTGTTTTGTCTGGCTGGTATATTTACAAAGATTTTTAAAATATTTGTCAACCTTGAGGAACTGGGAGATTTCACATGAAAACCCTGATTTCTGGCCTCTCTTTTTCTTTTTTCTTTTCAGGCCATGCCATATGGCATGCAGGATCTGAACTCCCCAACCGGTGAACCCATGTCCCCGGCATTGGGAGCGCAGAGTCTCAACCACTGGACTGCCAAGGACGTCCCCCGGGCCTCTCTTGAAAACAACTTAAGAAATGGGACCCATTTCCGGCACGGTGTAGTCAGCTGGAGAGAAGTGGAGTAGAGGTCGCCCACCATCAAGGGGACACAGGCCCCAGTGTGTGCACAGCCCCCACCTGACCTGCCACATCCACCCATGGCTGTCAGCCCTAGGTGGCTCCCAAGCATACAAGTGCATCTCTGGGGATGGGGACACCTCAAAGGGATGGAGGGAAGGCACTTGAGTGGAAAAAGCACTTAGCCTCAGTGGGCACATCAGGAAAATAGGGCCACCCCAGCTCCCCTGACTTCCCACCAGGCTGGCTTGGACTCTAACCTCCCCGCCCAGGACAGGAGCCGGTCTGGAGCCTGCCAGGCCTGGAGACCAGGGGCAGAATCGAGGGGCCCATGGGCAGGGCAACCAGGAACTTGGCCTTGCAGGGCTCCTGGCCCGCCCAGGGTGGGAGCGTCAGGGTGGACGGTTACCGATTGTCAGCTGGTTCTTTTCCACAGGAGACAGGCTGAAAACGTTGGGGTTTTCTCCAGCATCAGTTTTATAAAAGGTTTCGATGTCGATGGAGAATTTCTCCACAAAAGGGCAAGTGAACCTGTGGGGGAAGGAGAGTATCCACCAGGACCCGGGCTCGGAGGGATAGGCATGGGTCGCTGGGCAGAGGACAAGGGCTGGAGTGGTGGGTGAGACCTGTCTGTCCTGTCCACCTCCTGGACCTTCACTGCATCCCAAGAAGAGCCAAGTCTGAGTTGAGGGCAGTGGGAGGGGTGGACTAATGGGGAGGGAGGAGTCATCACAGGAAGTGGCTGGCAGCCTATGTCCATGCGTGTGAGGCATGGTGCGAATACGGTGTGGACACAGTTAAGGTGGTACTCTACCAAATGGGCTGAATCTGGACCAGCGCTTGGTGTGACATGCCACCCTGTCCCCTAAGAAACCAGGTGTGGCAACAGGGAGACAGCCTGTCTCTCTTGGCTGGAGATGAGCTCAGAGGAGAAAAGTACTGCTGGGAAGTGAACAACGTGGATGGATTCCCCAGCAAGTTCCAGGCCCTCACCCACCTGGACATAGAAGCCCCAGGAGACTCATGGGGACCCCACCTGTTCAGCACATGGGTGGCTCCCCTCTCTTCTAATCAAGCAGTGCTCAGTTATATTGGGTGGGGGGCACAGAGTGAAAAGCACCCCCTACCCAGGGGAATCCAAAGAAACCATGCTCAACATGGCTTGTTATAAAGTATCATCATAGTCGCTGAAGGTGTCAGGGTTGGAGGGAATCTCTGAGCCATCTGGGCTACCCTCAGTTCCTGTTTCTTCCAGCTGGTGGACTGTCCTGCATTCCTAGGCAAACATTAAAGTGAGTTTGTGTTCCCTGAGCCTTCCCAGATGGCAAAGGAGTCTCAGATGGCCCTCGCTGGACTCATGCCTTCCTGGGCTCCCCCCATTGGCAGGCTAGGAGGCACCTAGGGGTAGAGCCTGCCCTGTCCTGTCTATTCCCCCAAGGGGGAACTTGGGGGAACCTTCAGGGTTAGAATGGAGGCTCAGCTCCCTGGGAGCCAGGCGGCTGAGACTGTCTGGGGCGGGGGGCAGCACCAGTATCTATGCCCCTGGGTTGCTTCCCGGGAGGACGACATGGGGCCGAGGGCAGGCTCACCTGGTTCGGGTGTAGGGGTAGGCGTTCCAGGACTCCTCCACCACCCGCAGGGCCGCCTTGGGCAGGATGGAGCGGAACCAGCTGGGGATGTGCATGCCCACGTGGTACACCTTGTGCGTGTATTGCCCGGAGCCGCCAGGGCCGTCCGTGTACGGCCGGTTCTCCAGGATCTCCACGCCGCTGCCTTCGCCATGCGTCTCGTTCCGACTCTTCTTCTGTGGGGACAAAAACATGGGGGACGTGTGGGTCTGGAGCTCTCTGCAGAAGGGGAGGGGCTCAGGAGACCCGGCTGAGGGTGCTGAGTGCGGGGGCGGGCTTTGGCCAACCAGGCTGGCTCCTTTTGGGTCACTTCAACACACCCTCCTTAAATATCCCCCCCCACAAGGCTCCACGTGTCCCAGCATTCATGCAGAAGACTGAAGGACCACGGTTCCCTCTCCGAGCCCAGCACTGCACATGCAAACTCCTCCGTTCTGACTCCTGAATCTCCTGGAACTGAAAGTGTCCCCAAGGTCAGGAACAAGGGGAGGTGCTTGCTTTCTCACCTTTTAGCCAACACTGTACTGGAGGTTCTTGCCAGAGAAATTAGGCAAGAAAAAGAGAGTAAGAGGCATTCAGATTGGAAAGAAGAAGTAGGGACTTCCCGGGTGGTACAGTGGTTAATATTCCAATCTCCCAATGCAAGGTGCCCAGGTTCCATCTCTGATCAGAAAACTAGATCCCACATGCCACAACTAAGAGTTGGCAGGCCGCAAATAAAGATTCTGCAATAAAGATTCCGCGTGCCGCAACTAAGACCCGATGCAGCCAAAAATATTTTTTTATAAAGGAAGAAGTGGGGCTTCTCTAGTGGCTCAGTGGTAAAGAATCTGCCTCCCGATAAGGGAGACATGGGTTCGATCCCTGGTCCAGGAAGATCCCATATGCAGTGGAATAAAAAAGCCCATGAGCCATAACTACTAAGCCTGTGCTCCAGAGCCCGTGCTCCGCAACAAGAGAAGCCACTGCAATGAGAAGTTCAAGAACCACAACTAGAGAAAAGTCCCTGCAGAAACCAAGACCCAGCCCAGCCAAAAATAAATAAAATCATTTAAAAAAAAAAGAAAGAAGTAAAACTATCTCAATTTGTTAATGACATAATCCTCAACACATAAAAACCTAAAAACCCCCCAAATCTGCTAGACCTAATACATAAATTCAACAGAGTTGCAGGATACAAAATCAACACACTAAAACAAATAATGCAGAAAGGAAATAAAGAAATCATTTCCATTTATAATAGCATCCAAAAGAATAAAATACTTAGGAATAAATTTAACCAAGGAGGAGCAAAGAGTTGTATACAGAAAAACATAAAACATTACTGAAAGAAATTAAAGAAGATTTAAATAAATGGAAAAGACATCTGTGTTCATATGAATTGGAAGATGTAATATTGTCAAGATGTCAACACTCCCCAAAGCAATCCATAGATCCAATGTAATCCTTAACAAAATCCAATGACCTTTTCATTAGAAAGGGAAAAACTGATCCTAAAATTCATACAGAGTTTTGAGAGATCTCAAATAATCAAAACAATCTTGAAAACAAAACAAAGTTGGAAAGCTCACATTTTCCCACATTAAAAATTGCTAAGGACTTCCCTGGTAGTCCAATGGTTAAGAATCTGCCTTCCAAAGCAGGGGATGTGGGTTTGATCCCTGGTCAGGAAACTAAGATCCCACATCCTCCATGGCATGGCCAATTAAAAAAAAAAAAGTGCTATAAAACTATAGTAATCAAAACAGTGCAGTACTGGCATAGGACAAGTCTGTGTAATGGAGGTGAGAGTTTAGAAATAAATCCAATATTTACATACTATATTTACTGATTTTCAACAAGGGTGCCAAAATTATTCAATGGGAGAAGGAACAGTCTTTACAACAAATGCTGCTGGGACAATTAGATATCCACATGCCCACAATGCCATACCACATATAAAGAGGAACTTAAAACAGATCAAAGACCAACTTGTTAGAACTAAAAGTATAGAACTCTTAGGAGAAAATACTAGGGCAAATCTTCATGACCTTGGATTTGACAACGGTTTTTCAAATATGATACTCAAAGTATAGGCAGTCAAAGAAAAAATATCTAAATTGGACTTTATCAAAATTTAAGAAAGAACAGGGACTTCTCTGATGGTCCAGTGGTTAAGACTACACATGCTTACGCTGCAGGGGGCATAGGTTCGATTCTGGTTTGGGAACTAGGACCCTGCATGGCATGAGGCACGGCCAAAAAAAATAAAAACTTTTGTGCATCAAGGGATGCTATCAAGAGAGTGAAAGGACAACCCACAGAATGAAAGGAAAGCTTTTGTAAATAATACATCTGATAAATTATATCCATACAATGAAATATGACTTGGCCATAAAAAAGAATGAAGTACTGACACATGTTACTACATAGATGAACCCTGAAAACATGCTTAGTTAAAGAAATATATGACCTGTATGACCCCATTTCTATGAGATGCTTAGAACAGGCAAATTTAGAGAGTCAGAAAGTAGATTATTGGTTGCCTGGGGGTTGGGGGATAATGGAGAGTGACTTCTTTATGGGGTGATGAAAATGCTCTAAAATTGTGATAATTTCACAACTCTGAAAAGTGCTAAAAGCCACTAAACTGTACACTTTAAATGTGTGAATTGTGCCGTGTGGGGCTTACATCTCAATAAGTCTGGTATAAAATCAAACAAACAAAGAAATAAAAACAACCCTGCCTCCTGTACTCAACTAGATTTCAGAGAGTTCAAACATGAGGAGTGAAAAGGGACGTTGGAGGCACTGCCCGAGAAACAGAACGCCTAGGTCACCTCCAAGTGTCTCTCTGCTGCCAACATCCTTCCTGGGGTCTGAAAGGTTGGGTTTCTGCTTTTGCACAAAACCTTCGTGGTCAAGGTGCTGGTGACTTTCAGCCCAGCATCTGTTTCCATAGCAACATGCTCGCATCACCAAGGTCATCTTCGGTCAGCTTCCTAGACAGCAGGTGTGCACACGCTCGCACACGCATGCACCCTGAGTGTAGGCGCACACCCACGCCCACAGGCACCCCAACAGCACTGCCTCATCCTTGGGGCACGACTCTCTCTAGGGCACAAAGATGTGCTATATCTCCAAGGCCAGAGCCACTGAGTCCCCTTCAGAGAAAAAAAAAGACCCTGACTGAGGCCAAGAAGGGGTCAGAGCAGGGACATGCCCATTCCCTGCTCTTTAAAGGAGCTCCTGGAATGTGGCCCATGTTCCATAATGAAAACAGCAACCATTTCCTGGATGCCTTCCAAGCTCCCGCCTCTTACAGCATCCTTGTTGATTAGTGGTTGTGCTAAGTGCCTGGCATGTTCTTTCTCCTTTAGTTACTGCAGCAGCCCCTTGAGAAAGGTGCAGGACTACTCTCACTCCCAACGTTCAGATGGGAAGGTGGAGGCTCAGAGAGGCAGAGTGACCCGTCCAAGGTTACAGTTGCTAAATGGCAGAGCTGGGACTGTTGGATTCCAGGGCCTGCTCACCCACGGCATTGGGCAGCTCAAGGAAAACGCCCCAGCACAGAGAGGCGCTGAGAAACAGCTACTGAGCAAGAGGAGACTGTAGTCCTAACCCTGTGGCCAACTGTCTCTCATCCTGGACAAGTTGCTTCTGCCTGGTCTCAGCTCCTAAAACCCTAATCGGGGACGGGGCTCCCTGTCTGCCTAAGGCCCAGGGTAGTGGGGTGCAGCCTCCCTGCCATACCACATCCACCTGGAATCTCAGACTGTGACCTTACTTGGGAATAGGGTCTTTGCTGATGTAATTAGTTAAGATGAGGTCATCTGAATGTAAATGGATTGGACAATTTAGGGTGGGCCCTATGTCTAATGAGAAGGCATGCTTATGAGAAAAGAAAACGGGGGACACTTCCCTGGTGGTCCAGTGGCTAAGAATCTGCCTTGCAATGCAGGGGACACGGGTTTGACCCCTGGTCAGGAAACTAAGATCCCACATGCTGAGGAGCAGCTAAGCCTGGGCCCGCGTGCCAGAGCTAGAGTCCGTGCGTCACAGCGGAAGCCCCGTGTGATGTAACGAAGACCCGTGTGACACGACTGGGGCCTGATGCAGCAAAAGAAAGAAAAGGAAATGGAGACACAGACAGACACACACAGGGGAGATGGAGATAGACACACACAGAGGGCAGGTGGTCATGTAACAACAGAGGCAGAGACTGCAGTGAGACAGCCTTAAATGGAGAAATGCCAAGCACTATCGGCCACCACCAGAAGCTAGGAGGGACAAGGAAGGATTCTCCCCAGCCCCCCAAAGCCTTCAGGGAGAGCATAGCCCCCTAACACCTTGATTTTGAACTACCCTCCAGAACTTTGAGAGAATACATTTCCATTGCTTTAAACCACCCAGTCTGTGGTGGTTTGTTACGACGGCCCCAGGGCGTGGAATGAAGGTCTGGGGTGCCAGGTGGCTTGGCAAGAAGAGGATGTGCAGGTCGGAGGGGCCAGGGCACGGGGAGTCTCTGAAGGTGCCCAGCCAGCTGGGATCTGAGGGCAGAGGACAGAGAGGGAGCAGGGACGGGGGTGGGTGGGGGGGTCCTTCCTGCTTGGCCTTAGTGGGGCTGCACAGACCCCAGGTCCCAGGGTTGGGGCAGAAGAGGAGGAGGGGAGGGCAGGCAGAGCTCGGTCCCTCCCCCGGGGACTATGGAAGGATGGGCAGGAGAGACAGGCCCGGCTCCCAGGGGCACACACGCCCAGGGTGAGACCTGACGGGTCCCCCTTCCTACTCTACCCACACAGGCTGGGTGGAGACCCTTCCCCTCCTCCTGTGCTTCCCTGTCCCAACCCTGGAGCCTGGGGTCTGCAAGAGAGAAGTCTGGGCCACCAGGCGTCTGGTGCAGAAAAAGCCCTGGGTGAAGGGGGCGGGGAGGGGGTGTGTTTAAAAGATTCAAAGACCAAGAAACCCCCAGCCAATCAGGCAGTTCTCAGAGCTGTCCAGGGTCCTGGCCAAGCCGCTTCCGATCGCTTCCTCCCTTTTCTGGGCACCTCCTAGGATGGAAGGCTCTCCCTCCGCCAGACAGACCAATTTTTCTTCTTCTTGAAACCTTGAACAACATGAATATTGAGTTTCGTTCAGGCAGGTGTGAGGCAGTGTGACACGTGAGCCCATCTTGTTCACAATCTCAGGGAGGAGGTGGCTTGTTCAGCAGTCAGGCCTCTTCCTAGCTGCCACCCCAGCTGGCAAGCGGGATCACTGGGCAATGGATGAATGGTCTTGCTCTTTCTGCAGAAACAAAGCTGCCTTCCTTGATGGTCCATCCACCTCGTAAAGCCCAGCTCAGTACGGAGACCCTCCGGGAGCACTGGCCCCAAGCCCATGTGAGCACCAGGTTCCCATGCCCCCAGCCCCACTGGTCTGGTCTCTATTCAGTGAGCTGCATACACATCTGTCTCCCTGCAGGCAATCCTGGAGCACAGAAAGCGCTTTTCATTCATCTCTATAGCCCAACCCTCAGCCACAGCCAGGCACAGAAAAGTCTGGTGAATTTAACTTTTTAAAAATATATATATATTTACTCATTTATTTATTGGGCTGTGCCGGGTCTTAATTGTGGCATGTGGGTTCTGGTTCCCTGACCAGGGATGGGACCCAGGACCCCTGCATTGGGAGCACAGAGTCTTAGCCACTGACCACCAGGGGAGTCCCTCAACTTAGTTTTTTAACAGCATTATTGAGGTACGACTGACATACAGTAAGCCATATATATGTAAAGGTACAGCCACTGAGCTGTGATGTGGGTCCACACCCATAAAACTGTCACATGGTGGAGATAACAGGCATGTTCATCACCCTCACAGTGGATGGAGCCCCCCCAGAACTTCAGGGACAGAAGCGGGTAAGATAAATTCCAGAGTGGGAGAGAGGGGCCTGGCCTCGGGAGGCAGACGGTGTCCGTGAGGCTGTAGGAGGCAACACACAGGAGGCTGGGAGCGTTTCACATTAACTGGAGGTACAGGAAAGATGTTGAAAAACAAACAACTTGAAACAGGAGCTGCAGACAGATGGCAGGTGCTTGAGGAGCCCTGAGGCTGAGGTGGCTATATACTCAGAAAAGCCTGGGGTAACCTGGAAGCTGAAAGCCAGCCCCCAGGATCTTAATGTCTCCAGCCTCCCAGCAGAGTTGAGAGCTGCCTGCTGTGGGCCAGGGCTCCCTGCCGGCTCAAGGAGGAATGAAGAAGCCACAGGACACACAGATCCCCTGGCAGATCAGCTGGTCCTTGAGCAGGTGGAGCCAACTCCTGAATGCCTGGCGCTGGGGGGCTGATGCTAGTCTCTCCTCTCCCCACTCTCTAGGAATAATTATGGGGTAAGTGGTTCAAGAGGGAATCGAGTGGCGCTTCTGAAGAGGCATGAAGCAAACAGCCCCCCAGAGAGGCTGGGTTTGCCTTCTGTTCTTTTCCTGGCCAAGTGTTCCATGCAGTGCTCTGGGTCAAACTCAGGATGGATGTAGAGGCCCTGCCGAGCTCCCCTTGCCCTGCCGTGATCGGGGCCTGTGTAGCCAAGGGTGGCACCCTGTGTACCCCGAGGAGCCAGAGCCAGGTGGGAAGCAGGTTCATAATCAGGCCCCCAAGTGGGAGGAAGGCTGCCAGGCCAGGCAAAGGGCTGGGGCACCGAGAAGGAGCGAGAGGCTGGCAGAGAAGCTGGGATGGGACCCAACCCTCCACTGAGCAGGACCCCAGCCAAGACCTCAAGGAGCAGGAGCTCTGGTCCCATCTGGGCCATAGGGACCCAATCCTGGGGCTCCCATCCTGGGTTCCAGGTTACTCAGGCACTGAGTAGGGAGCCCAGCAATGTCTGGGGTGGGGTGGTCATCTCTGGCTTTTCACAGGACCAATGATCCTCAAATCCATTTGTGTGCATGCTAAGTCGTTTCAGTTGTGTCCAACTCTTTGCAATCCTGTGGACTATAGTCCTCCAGGCTCCTCTGTCCTTGGGATTCTCCAGGCAAGAATACTGGAGGGGGTTGCCATGCCCTTTTCCATGGGATCTTTCCAACCTAGGGATGGAACAGGCATCTCTTAGGTCTCCTGCACTGGCATGTGGGTTCTTTACCACTAGCGCCACCTGGGAAACCCCAAAGTCATCTGTGACTCTGTAAATCAGCCACTTAGCCTAGGATAGAGAGGAAAGTGTGTACCTGGAGCCAGGAGGCAGGCTCTGTGCTCCTGGACAAGTCACTGAACTTCTCTGGGCCTCACACCTTCCTGTCTGTCAAATGGGTTGTTATGAACTGAATGTTTGTGTCTCCTGTCCCCCTAAATTCATATGTTGCAGCCCCAACCTCCAATGCAATGGTGCTGGGAGGTCAGGCCTTTGGGAGGTGTTTAGGTCATGAAGGTGTGGCCCTCACAATGGGATCAGTATGAAGAGCCCCCCCAACCCCCGCCCAAGGAGCTCTCTGGCTCTGTCCACTGTGTGAAGACACAGCGAGAAGGTGACCGTCTGCAAGCCTGGAAGAGAGCCCTCACCAGACATTGAATCTGTCAGCACCTTGATCCTGGACTTTCCAGCCTCCGGCACTGTGAGAAATAAACATCTGTTGTTTAAGCTGCCTCATCTGCAGCATTTTACAGCCCAAGCTGATGAAACGCAAGGATGCTATCTGGACCAGTGAAAAGATGGGTGTTAAATACAAAGAGTGCTAGTCTTACGAGCGCTGTGAACGCTGTGCTGGTGAGACAACCCAAAAGCCACAGACACCTGCAGCGTGTTGCCTGTGCCTGGCTTCGTGCTTGGAAGCCAGAGCTCCGGTGCGATTCAGACACGGACCAGGAGCCCACCGGAAGGATACTGCTGTGAAGGCCTCAGTGCCACCTCCCCCACGTCGGTGCTAAGAGCTGCTGTGGGCACGGCGGGGCCCGCCCCGGCCCCACCACCCACCTGTATCATGTACAGCTGGGCGATGCGGTACTCCTCCACGGTCATCGGCAGAGGAATCCGATATTCCTTTATAATCATCTTGGAGTCCAAGCCTTCCCGTTGATGGGGAACTGCGTGTTGGGACTTCTAGACGAGGTTCCTTAAATAACCATGACAAAATTCACCAAGGACCCCTGAGAGAGAAAGAAAGGACAGGAAAGTCACTTTCTGCAAAGGCTGGTGAGTACAGTGGCATAGGAAGGACCTAGCCTTGACCCCAGGTTAGAATTCTGACCTCAGTTTGGCCACAAGCCCACTCAGTGTGACCTTGAGCCCAACGTGTGACCTTGAGCAGATTCCCTCAACCTCCCCAGCCTCCATTTTCCCTGTTGGCTCAGCAACTGTGTACAGGACATGTATAAACTGATCAGCCTGGTGGAAATAAAGGATTGTTCTCCTGCTAGTGATAGCCAGGCAACAAGAGGGCATCACATCCCCTAAGAGTCAAGAGCATCGCGTTCCTGTTTTACTTGCAGGTCTAACAAGCGGCAGCCTCAGCTCTCCTGTGTTCTGGGGTAGCTGGAGGCAGGCATGGTGATAGCAGCAAGTGATGATGGCTGGCAAGAAGTCAGGACAGGGGCTTCCCTGCTGGTCCAGTGGTTAAGACTGTGCACTTCCAAAAAAAAAGATTGTGCACTTCCCATGCAAGGGGCACAGGTTTGATCCTTGTTTAGGGAGCTAAGATCCTGCATACTGCATGGCCAAAAATTTGTTAAAAAGGGTACAGCTTGAAAATATAAACGAAATATAATACATAAATAAAACATAATAAAAAATAAGAAGGAAGGACAAATGAAACTATGAAAAACAAATGTGAGAAATTTTAAAAACTGGTGGTCTGGGACCCTTCAGCATCAGGGCAATCGGTTCTGCTCCTGTCACTGGGCACAGATGGCAACACTACTTCCCAGCAGGAGATCTCGAGTTATCAAAGGAAGTGACCTTAAGTGTAGTTTCAGCTCAATCCACCACCCACTGCTTACTGATACCTACTCTGCTGTTGACATTGGGCTAGGTCTTGGAGGTAGAAGAGGAAAGTAAGATACACGGTTGGGTCGCACAGCATGTGAGTTATGTATCAATAAAGCTCTTTAAAAACATAAGCAAGGGGCTTCCCATGGCAGTTCAGTGGTTATGACTCTGCCTTCCACCGCAAGGGGTGCAGGTTTGATACCTGGCCTGAGAGTTAAGATCCCACCTCCTAGCAGCCAAAAAAACAAAATGTAAAATGGAAGCAATATTGTAACAAATTCAATAGACTTTAAAAATGGTCCACATTAAAAAAATTTTTTTAATTAAAAAACTGTAAGCAAGCAATGTATTCATAGCAGCTTATATTTAACACGACAATATATTTGATGAAGACCTGCACCTAAAGGAATCATATTTTTAAAAACAAATGTAATGCTTGAAGGAAGCATATCCTCAGTGGTCCGGAAAATGAAATCACCCATCAAAGTCTATCCTCTAGATGGCGGGGACTTTGCTGTAAATATATTTGGTTACCCCTAGAGAGATCAGATGGTATTAACTGGAAGCTGAGTGAAGGTTTCCAAGACAGGCAGTGGCAGAATCAGGATAGTACTTTAGAAGGATCATGCCGGGGACAGCAGTTGGTGAGGATTCACGGTGACTGGAGGCAGGGTGTCAGCTAAGTGATAAAAGTGAGGGACCGGTGAGGCAGGCAGCTTCCCCAGGGCACCAAGTGTACGAGGCCTGAGCATTGCACAGGCACTAATGCATTACTGGATAACTAACGAGACTGGGAAAAGCATATATACCAAAACTCCTGGGATAACCAGTACATAAGATGGAAAAGAAATCCTTTAATAAACCACCTAACGGGAGAGCTGGAACTGGGGGGTGTATATAAATAGGCCAGAGATGGCCCTGCATTATTAACCCAAAATGACCCCCACGCTGTTAACTTTTTTACAGCAGGTAGGTCTATACTGTGCTCAGTCCCTCAGTCTTATCCGACTCTTGCTGACCCTGTGGACTGTAGCCCACCAGGCTCCTCTGTCCATGGGATTCTCCAGGCGACAACACTGGAGTGGGTTGCCATGCCCTCCTCCAGGCGATCTTCCTGACTCAGGAATCAAACTCACGTCTCCTACACTGCCAGCACTGCAGGCAGATTCTTTACCGTTGAGCCACCTGGGAAGCCCAGGTAGGACTATTACCCCTCTACAAAACCTCTAGCACCAAACTCAACTTCTCACATATCCAATTGCTTTAAATACAGTCCAGATAAGCATCTTTTTAGCCAATTAAGACTTTGTCTATGGACTTGCTTGGTGGTCCAATGGTTGAGAATCTGCCTTCCAATTGCAGTGGACATGGGTTCCATCCCTGGTCTGGGAAGATCCCATGTACCCCAGGGCAACTAAGACCATGAGCCACAACTTTGGAGCCCAAGAGCTCTAGAGCTTGTGCTCTGCAATAAGAGCAGTCTGTGTGCAGAAATGAAGACTACGGGCTGACCCTGGGCTCAGCTGGGGCAGCACAACACCTAGACAACACCTTGACAGCACAACACCTAGGTTGACACTCTCAAGAGAGTAAGACACCAATTTGGGCACCTCCTCACACACACACACACAACGAGAAAGAATTTATGTTTGGGAGGTTGGATGAAATGAGGACTGGAGACAGGGAAGGGAAAACCTAGGTTCAATAAGTGTCATGTTTCCAAAGCTTTTCCACTGGTTTTGTGGGCTCCTTCTGCAGCAAGGGATAAATCCAATGACCAAGAATGACCTTGGGCAAGACCCACATTGTCTAAATAACAAAGAGGACAGATGCTAACAAAGAGGTCAAATGCAAATGCTAAATGTTCTTAAGAAACTGTAGGAATCAAAGCAATCTGCCCTTCTGGGCTCTTCACAGCTCCACAGTAGATGACCTGCCCACACTCGCCCATACACAAGTCAGACCAAGTGTCTGCTGGTTTGCTCCCTCTGGCCTGCTAGGCACCAGGGCAGGCTGTGCTGAGTGTGCTCAGTCATGTTTGATTCTTTGCAACATTATAGACTGTAGCCCACCAGGCTCCTCTGTCCATAGGATTCTCCAGGCAAAAATACTGGAGTGGGTTGCCATGCCTTCCTCCAGGGGATCTTCCTGACCCAGGGATTGAACCTGTGTCTCCTGCGGCTCCTGCATTGCAGGCAGATTCTTTACCATTGAGTCACTGAGGAAACCCATTTAAGTGCATGGTAACTAACAATAGGGGAGAGGAATCAGAACTCTAAAAGTGACACAAAATGTGCGGGCAAGGACCTCCCTAGTGGTCCAGTGGTTCAGACTTCACCTTCCAATGCAGGGGGTGCGGATTTGATCCCTAGTAGGGGTCCAGTGGTTCAGACTTCACCTTCCAATGCAGGGGGTGCGGATTTGATCCCTAGTAGGGGAGTTAAGATCCCACATGCCTTTCTGCCAAAAAGCCAAAACATAAAACAGAGGCAATATTGTAACGAATTCAATAAATATTTTTTCAAAAACTTAAGTCTACTTAAAAAATGTGCCGGAAAAAAAAAATGTGCCAACAGTCACAGTGGAGCTCCACCCTGGGATCTGAGGTCATAACCTAACAACGCCTTTCTCAGCTGTGTGACCTGTGCCTCAGTCTCTACACATAATGGGGATAACACCACCTGCTGTCCAGAGTCATCATCAGGGTCACAGAAATAAGGGCAGGTGAAGTGCTCACATACCAGGAGGTATTCATCACTCAGAGGGGATTTGAGAAAGGCTTTACAGAATGTGGAGCTTTCAGACGACATGAGTTGGGCTTCCCTGGTCAGTGAGATTGTGTTCAACAGAGCAGGTGGGAGGAGGATGCTTTGGGAGAAGGAACAGCATGTGCAAAGGCCCTGGGGCAAGAACATGACACCCCATCTAAATGACCTCTCACTGGTGCACCCGCAGTATTGCCACACCGTGTCCCTGGAGGATGGTACTAGGGCAGGGGTTGGGATGCAAAGGCCACCAGAAGCCACAGTCCCCAGGGCAGGACGAGACGTGGCTGCTCCCTGAAGCCAGGCGTGGCAGCCCACTCACGTGCGCATGGAGTCCAGTGTCAGGTTGAGCAGGAGCAGGGTGACAAGTGATCTGCCTTTGCTTCCAGGATGGCTTTCTCCCAGGGGAGGAAAGACACCCTGGCCAGATGGGGTGTGACCACAAAGCACACGTTTCTCAACCAGCCCTTCTAGACAGAAGTCAAGCTGTCCTTCCAAGCAACCCTGGAGAAGGTCATCCATGCCTGTCTGGGCTGATCTCTGGGAAGCCGTCGGTGCTCCGCCTGCCTCAGGTCACTCTGCCTGGGCCGGAGGAACAGTGCTCAGGAGAGGGACATGGGCCATCTGGGGGTTTTCTTTCAAGGAGATCACTCTGAAGGGCCCGGCGGTCCTTTGCCTTGTCAGGTACTCGCATTTTATTTACTTAAAATCAGATCTGTTTCTTTCTACACCTACACTAGTCGGTTCAGACAACCATCCTGACTTCCTGTTGATGGAGGAGTAGGGGCACTTCCGTTCTCAAAATGACACAGAATGACTTAAGACACAGAAAAGTCACCACGGCTGTGAAACGAGGAAATGGTTGCACCCCCTAACCACAGTCCGTGAAGGACGGCAGCCAGACACCATGAGGTTCGAGCTGTCAGCAAGGGACATGCTGGGAGCTCACATGTGCCACCTCGGACCTCCAAACAAATCACATCACCTCCTGGAAAGACACAGAACCACGGAGTCTGGGGCTGTGGATGCCCCCAGGGGAAGACAGCCATTGCCCTGCACATTTTGTTTTCTACTTAAAGTTTTTAAAAGTTATTTTTATTTATTGTTAGGCTGTGGGCTTCCCTGGTAACTCAGCTGGTAAAGAATTCACCTGCAACGCAGGAGACCCTGGTTTGATCCCTGGATTGGGAAGATAGGCTGGAGAAGGGATAGGCTACCCACTCCAATATTCTTGGGCTTCCCCAGTGGCTCAGCTGGTAAAGAATCCGCCTGCAATGTGGGAGACCTGGGTTTGATTCATGG